TAAATTACACCTTTTCAATTCCTAATTCAGAGTGTGTGCTGCTAATATGTGTACCAATTAATTATCACATACCAATCAACTATCACTAGTTCAATAGCTGCTTTTATCAATTTTTCAATTCGCCCTTTTTGGTTTGTATTCTGGACCTTGCATAGCATCAAGAACAGCATTAGAATTCCATTGGAATGTCAGTGCTTTGACAGTTTGTTATGTTTCCTTTGACCATTCCGTTGACCACGCACACATCTTTTATAAAAAGCTGGAATTTTTGGTGGTGGAACTTGAAAATCTCCATCACATGTTATTCAAACTTAGTCATAGCTTCTTTCTACAAAGTTTAATAGGGAATTGGTAATGAGAGAAATGAAAAGTCATCCACACCCTTGGTTTCCCATTAATCACATCTCCATTTCCTCTCACTTGAGCTGGGAATTCTTGATGAGTTCGAAAGTTCCCGCAATATTAACTTTCCCTTAATCATACTCAGTTCCAGTGCTTGTCCGGGGATAGATGGTTGGACAATTCAAACCACCCTTGGTTTCCACTTTCCACATCTAATCTCCCCATAATTGTGCGGAACTGAAAGTTTCCCAGAACCTTTGGTTTTCAGTTGATTAAACCCCATTTGACCGTATTTGTGTGGGTATTTACAGTGCGGAGGATGGAAAGTTTCCCCAAAACATTTTGGTTACCACTGAGTTATAATGTGGGGAACAACATTTGTTTCTCATCGATCAGTTTTCTCTTGTGCTGGAGCTCACAACTGATGTTTCCATTGAACATGCTCCATTTCACCCTACCTTTGCTTGTTTTTTAAGGAGTGTGAAGTGAAATGTTCCCCAAATCATGTAGTTTCCAGGCGCAGAACTGAAAATTCCACACAAATTTTGGTTTCCCCTTGATCACATGCCATTTTAATGTACTTTGGCATGAAAATGGCGGTGCAGAAAAGTTTATTTTTTGTATTGGAGTAAAATGGTTGGATATAAAAATCTTTTAAAATTAGAGATAAAAATTAGAGAGAGTTAACCATCTTAGTTAAAAAAACTCTTTAAAGTTAGAGAAAAGTTTTATTTCAACTAAAATCATTAATCGTCCATCAAACGTTAAATGTTCTGGGGGAAGTTTGAAATAAAAAATAAAATTAATAAAATTTCCTTGACTAAATTCCCAGTCTTCAAAATTATTGGTAAAAAAATTCTTAAATACAAGTTACCACCAATTCGCATTTTCAATTAGTTTTACTGTATAGATACGGTCTTTAATTAAATTAGAATGTTATCCCAATCCTTTGGCTCCACTTGACTTTGCACGATTCATCCTTATCATTGAATGTCGCTTTAAGTGTCACCGTCCTTAAAATATTCTATATCCATGCACCATTTCCACGCAATTTTAGTCGAAATTGATGATGATGAAACTTCAAAGTTACCAAAACCATTGTTTCCCCATTGATCACGACGACAAACCTCCGCACCCTTCCTTGACAAGAGGTTTACAGTCGGAAAACGTAAGACTCATGAAATAAAAAGTAAAGTTTAAATTATGTTCCAGTTTTTCTTATTTTATATTACAAAATTTCTATCAGCTCCAATCTTTTATACACAAAACTCATAAATAATCATTTGAATATTCTTTTAATTTCTTAATTTTGAGAATTTTTTTTATAAATTTTAAATTTCTAAAAATTCCCACAGCTAACAAATAGGTGAAAAATTTCTAATGTAAAAAGAGATATTTTAACTTTATATTGAGAGAATATATTGAGAGAGAAACTGTTACAACCGTAGATGTCAGAGATTTAAGTAGTGTTGACGTGCGATAGAAAAACTGTTTATCCGGTTTAGAAATAAACAATGTGTAGGCGAAAAGATGGAAGAGCTGGAACAGACGGCGGAGATCAGTGACTAGCCCCCGCTAGTATGATCCAACTAGACTGACGCTTTAACTGGCTTTTATACTATAGCGATACCACTACACAACAGAAACTAATCTCTTAGTTATTTTTCTCTAACCACTTCTTCCATACAACCCTAAAGATCACCATATTTTTATGAGGTTGATTAAAACAATAAGAAAAGATAAGTGATCAGGTCAATTAACATAAGCTAAGTTTTGAATTACTTTTAGAAATCTTGCATTTTGAAAGTTGGTATTTTGTTGTTTGACATTTAGAAAGTTGGCATTTTGTCACATGCCATTTTGAACTTTTACATTTGTATTTGGCATATTTCAAGTTGGCATTTTTAAGTTAGTATCTTAGCGTTTGAAAATTTGTAAGCTGGCATCTTGTCGTTTGACGTTTTTAAAGTTTGCATTTTGTAGTTTGACGTTTTGAAAATTAGCATTTCGGAATAATTTGTTACACGCTTAGATTAGAACTTCCTGCCATTTTTGGACAAAATTTGAAAAAATTTCAAAATGTCGATTTTCATAATGTCTAACTTTAATAATAGCATTCCCACTCTCACTCATTCCACTCACTGATTGGCATCTTATCAGCTTCTACTATTAAAAGGTAGAAGGTGATAATCATTTAGAATATAACTAATTACCCTCAAACTTTTATTAATTACCCTAGAATCCCTTCAGAACATATAGGTTGACGACATAATCAAAGAGATACAAGGTATTAAAATGTGTTTGACATTTTTCAAGTTGAAATTTTGTCACTTGACCTTTTTAAAGTTGACATTGGTGTTTCGAAATATTTAGGTAAATCCCCCCTACATTTGACTTCCGATCATTTTTGGACAAACTTTGAAAAAACTAACTGAGACTCTAGAGTCCAACATAACGCACTTAAACTTCTCTTTTTAGTACTTATCCCAGATGTTCTCTAGCAAGATAAATTTTAGCCGTTAAGCAAGACTCTAGACTCTTCGCTTTAACACACTATTTTACTCATAATCTTCTCTGTTTTATTCTGTCCGCATGTCTAACATGATCTAAGAAAAAAGTTGGAATTAGATGAGCTAGAGAGTGTACTTTCTTAAGAGAGTACACTGTCTTTCTTCGTCTGCCGCTGTATGGTTGTTGTAGTTTGTGTCAGACATCATCAGGGGCTTAAATACATTTTTATGTCTCTTTTATTTTACCGCACTTCCACCTTTTGGTTCTCTATAATTTTATCGCACTTCCAAACATTAATTTTAAAAATTCATTTTAACCTCCAAATGTCTTTTACCGTAATGCCTTTTACCGTATACTGTCTTTCTTCGTCTGCCGCTGGATGGTTGTTGACACATCACGAACATCCCACCTGTCAATTCCCGCAAAATATAAACCATAATTTTTTAATTATGGAATGATTAATCACCCTAATTAATCATGATTAATTACCCCAAATCAAAAGGTAAACTGTCCTTTGGCCACACATCGCCCCTTTATTAGTCTTATAATAATTATCAGTTTTTAACAGTGGAAGATTAAACATCTAAATAGACATTTCGAAGTGTGGCATTTTGTCACTTGACATTTTGAAATTTGACATTTTTAAATAATTGGTTAATTCCCCTCACATTCTGACTTGCGTCAACTTTGCAAATCATTTAAAATTTTTTGCATAATTTTGTAAACTTTATTTCTCCGCATTTATTTTTATTCAATATATTTTTTATTTTTTTCATTTTTTAATTAATTATCAGACTCAAATATTCCATTCCTAGACTGAAATTCACAGCATACGAAATTTATAGAAGATTTTAAATTCAAAATTCCCTCCAATATGTATTTTGAAGTTGACGTTTTGAGATTTGCATTTTGTCGTTTGCAAAATGCAAATCAGGTGCTTTTAAAAATTTTTAAAGGTGCTTTTAATTTTAAAAGGTGCATTTTTAAAGGTACTTTTGTCGCTTGACATTTTGAAAATTGGCATTTTGTCGTTTGACATTTTAAAAATTTGCATTTTGTCGTTTGACATTTTGAATGTTGTTATTTTGTCACATGACCTTTTTGAAGGTTGGTATTTTGTCATTTGACTTTTTAAAGGTTGGCATTTTGTCACTTTACATTTTGAAGAGTTGGCATTTTTAAATTTGACATTTTAAAATAATTGCTTAGTTCCCCTTACATTCTGACTTGCGGCAATTTTGCAAATCATTTAAAATTTTTTGTAAAATTTTGTAAACTTTATTTATCCGCATTTATTTTTATTTAATATATTTTTTAATTTTCATTTTTAATTAATTATCAGACTCAAATATTCCAGTCCCAGGTTGAAATTCACAACATACGAAATTTATAGAAGATTTTAAATTCAAAATTCCCTCAAATATGAATTTTGAAGTTGACGTTTTGAGATTTGCATTTTGTTGTTTGCCATTTTGAAAGTTGGCATTTTGTCGCTTGACATTTTGAAAGTTGGCATTTTGTTGCTTGACATTTTAAAAGTGATATTTCGAAATAATGAGTTAAACCCTTGCATTTGCACTTCCGGTCATTTTGGACAAACTTTGAAAAAATGAACTGAGACTCTAGAGTCCAACATTTCGCACTATTTCGCTTTTAAACTTCTCTATTAGTACTTATCCCAGATGTTCTCTAACTACCGACCATTTTCGATTACCCACCCAGATTTTCTTAAAGGTACTTTTTATTTGAAAGCTGTCATCGCCCTTTACCTTCAAAAGTAATTAATCATTTTAAATATGATTAATTGCCCTCCTTAATTACCGATGACCCTCTTCAGTAGGTGTAGTTCGGCGGCATAATTAAATATAAAAGGCATCAAAAGGAGTGAATTTCTGGAGGAGAGCGATTTGGGTTGTTCCAAAAAAGGATGATTAATGGGCTTAAAACCCCTTTAATCCCATAGGATTGTCGGCAAAATCAAAGGAAAATACCCCCTCTATAGGATGAGGTTTCATTTGACAGGTGACCAAATGAGGTGAGCGATTTGGGTATGTGGAGCGAAAAGGGTAGAAGAGCGATTTGGGTATGTGGAGCGATTGGGGCATAGTTAACTACTTATACCATTAAAAGCATCAACATCATTGTCATCAGCTTTGAAAAATAAATTGTTTAAATAAAAATAAAAAATATTTACAGTATTAATTCCCAAATAAAGCTTTTCATCTCTTTCGCTGCTGCTTGAAGAAGGTGTAAAAAATCCAGTGACTGCAACGACTGTAATGATAGATGTGGGCAGTACCAAATTGACTAAAATAAGGGTTGGTAAAATTAATTCAAAATTTAGTGCTTTCTAATTGTTCCAAAAAATCTGCAAAATTTGTCCGCAAAGTATGCAAAGTTTCAGTCTTGAAGCTATATTTTGGTCCATAATATAGCTTAAATATCCATAATATAGCTTATTTTATGTAGTGTGAAAAATATGAAAAAATAAATATTCCAACTTGCGGACAGATCTTGCGGACTTTTGAAATCTTTGGAAAATTTTTTTACCAATATAGTAGAGCGGTTTACGTTGAATGACCAGAAAAAGAGAAAAAAATTATTCGAATTATTTAAAAAATTAAAAAAATAAACCAAATGAGCATAAAGCATAGTCCACGGATTCTTGCAACATTTGAATTGTTGCTAAAAAATTTAAAATTTCAAGGGAATTTCGGAAAATTTTTAAAAAAATCCGCAAGTTTTTTGCGGACAAAATTTTTGCGGATTTTACAAGAAAAAATTTAAAAATCCGCAAGTTTTTTGCGGACTAATTTTGCGGATTTTACAAAAAATGGTAATTTTTTAATCCGCAAGATTTTTGCGGACAAATTTTTGCGGACACTAATAAATTAAAAAAAACCTCAATTCTCTCAAAATTAAAGCTGATAACAGTCCACTCATCATTTTGGGCAAAATTTAATAAATTAACTGTTGGCCTTTCATAATGGTAATTAATTGTGGCACTATCATGAGTCCAAGAAGAGATGATGAAACTACAGTTCTTTTAAAAAATTTTATTAAAACTTTTTAAAATTAAATTTTTATACCTGTTGATCGTAGGGGAAGAAACGGCTAGAAAAAAATTAAAAAAATAAATCAGAATTTAAGTTTAAGCTTAAATAAAATAAAGTTTAAGATTAAAATTAAGCTTGATCTTAAAAATACAAAATTCTGATTTAAAAAATTCTGGTTAAACCAGAATTCTGTTTAAAAACGAGAGTTAAGCTTGATCTTAAAAAGAATTCTGGTCTTAAAAACAGAATTCAAGATTAAACTTAAAAACCCAGAACTCTTAATTTAAATCAGAATACAAGCTTAATCTTAAAAAATAAGAATTCTGATTTTAAATCAGAATTAAAAATGAAAATACTTTAGAAGGTTTTAAGTCCAAGTTCTAATTTCCAGAATTTTTTTCGTCAAAACCTAAAAAATCATAATTCAAGCTCGGACTTGAATACAAAAATTCTGATTTAAGTTTAAACTCTTTAAGTAGGGTAGAACGAGACCGTTTAATTTCTCGTTTATTTTTCCCTGTGGCGGACTTTTCCCTTCTCTCTTCTCTTTTTGATCTGATGGGTCAAAAAGTCTCGTTTTAAACGGTCTCTTCTACCCTATTTTTAAGCTTTACACTTACACATTCATTCGACAACTAAGTTTGTAAATAGCTGGAAACATTAATTGAACGGCCGCTCCTTTTCCATCCTTCTTTAATCAACAAAAAAATATTTTTAAGAAAATATTCAAGTAACTAACTCGCCAATATCCAGTCTTAAATTAAAAAAATTAAATCAAAAAATTTTTTTTTCAAAAAAAAAACCTCAACAATTGCATTCATTAAAGCCTCAGTACTTCGTCTGTCCATCTTTTCGGAGTTGTAAAGCACCAAAAAATTAAAAAAATTTTAAAAAGTCCGCAAATTTTGTCCGCAAGTTTAAAAAAAGTCCGCAAATTTTGTCCGCAAGTTTAAAAAACTCCGCAAATTTTGTCCGCAAATTTAAAAATTCGCCGCAAGCTTTGTCCGCAAGTTTAAAAAGTCCGCAAATTTAAAAAAAAGTCCGCAATTATAAAAAAGTCCGCAAACTTTGTCCGCAAGTCAACTTGCGAACTTCTGGAACCAAATCCATTTTCGGGACAAAAAGTCCGCAAGTTGGTTTGCGGACAAAACTTGCAGAAATTAAAATTTAAAAAATTAAAATAAAACCGTATCAGGCACCCATATTTGTTGATAAGGCACAATTGTTTTGTTAATCATTTCGAATTTGTTTGGGTCCCAATCCAAAAACTTTTGAAGGAAAAAATAGTTTTGAGAGAAGAACAAAGAAATACCTCATCAAACCAATTTTGGACCTTTATAAACAAAATTATATTTTAAATAAATCCCCCCACATACCATCCACACGTTCACAACAATGCTTTGTTTACGTTCATCCTATAATTAATTTTTTTTAAAAATCCGCAAGTTTAGTCCGCAAGTCAACTTGCGGACATTAAATAAGGATTATTATTTTTGAGGGGCTGAGAACCCATGGGGTGAGGGAGAGAGAGAAAAAATAACCGGAAATTAAATAAGCTTCAAGCTTAAAAAGAAACTAACCACTTCCAATATTTGGTATAGAGACATGCTCAAATTGACTCGTGTTGATTCTCTAAAGTCTCTACGAGGGTGAACTAAAAAATAATTTTTAAAAAATACAAAAAAACGGTTCCTTTCCTTTATGTTCCAAAAGTCCGCAAGTTCTGTCCGCAAAAGAGATGTTTCCGAAAGGGGAAATTTCCGAAATATAGGAACTTGCCCAATCCCGATCCGGCCAATCTCTAAGGATTCTTCCCATCCCCGGCACCGAACCATGGCCTGACTTTTTCTCATCCCGACCCATCCCTGATGCAAATCCTCTGATAAAAAAATAGCCAAACTTGCGGACAAACTTTGCGGACTCTTAGTGACCACAAAGGAAAGGAAACCCAGTTATCTAAAAAAACCTGTAGGATCATAACTTTCCAAAATTTCTTCCACCAATCTTCTATGTCCAGTAAATAATTGTTGTTCTTCTATTGGAAGTCGTTTTTTAAATAATTTATTTTCCTCCTCAAAATCGTGGGAATTATTTTTTGAGTTTTTTGTATTTCTTCTAGGCATTCTTCCCTCTCTTAGCACAAAAGCACGAAGGCGGATGTCATCTACAGAAAATTCAGGGGCTGATTCTTGCTTTAAAAATTAAAAAAATAAATGGATGGAAGGCATAATCCGCAAGTTTTGTCCGCAACTTAAATAAAAATTTGCGAACAGACTTGCTGATTTTGTATTTTTGTCCGCAAGTTATGTCCGCAAGTCGATTAAAAAATTTGCGGACAAAATTTGTGGATTTTGCAATTTATCCGCAAATTTTGTCCGCAAAAATTAAAAATTCTTGCGGACAAATTTTGCGGACCTTTAAATAAATTAAAAAAAACCTCCAAGTGTTTATACCCCCAAGATTCAACAGAACTTGACAATTCCTCCATCCACCCCATTTTTTCAAAACACCCAATTCCTTTCAGAAAAAATGTCCAAAGAAGAATATTCATTCAAAAAATAATTAAAAAATGTTTCTCATTTAATAAAGCAACTTGGCCAGGATTAAAAAATTTTTCTTTTTTCGCTGTCTATTAGCTTTTAAAATGAAACAAGAAAAAAAAATTAAAAAGGGAAAAATAATGAATATTTAATTTTCATCTTTTCCAGAGAATCAAAGGGAAATGCACAGGAAAAAGAAAGCTTTTCATTGTTATTAAACAAGACTGGCCCCAAAAGAGAGGTAAGAGGTAGGTGACAATCGATGCCGAACACAAAAAAGGAAAAAAGGTTTTTGAGAAAATTGTCCAGTCCTTCCTAACAATAGAAAATGCGTAAAATGCTATTAAAATGTAATTCATAAAAATAGCGGGAAATTACCGAAAATCTGGAAAAATAGGAAAATTGAAAATTGTGGGGGAACACTTTTTTAATGTCGCCTTTTGGAAAATTCCAGTAGAGAGATTGTAACCAATTTATTATCTTCAATTTTTTATATTTAAAAGATCTAACAAAAAATATTTAAAAATTTGTACTTTTGAAAAAAAGTCCGCAGGGTTTGTCCGCAAAAATTTTGCGGACAACAAAATTTTTTGCGGACACGGATTTAAAAAAATAAAAATTCGAACCTTTCATCCTCTCCTCTTTTACTTCTTCCCACCTTCTTCATCCTCTTCTTCTTCCTCTTCCTTTTCTTCATCATCAACAGCATTGGGTTGTATTCCACTTTCATCAGGCCACTCTTCAGAAATTTCTTCACCCTTATAAACACAATCAGCCAGCTCCAATTTTGGGATCGTCATATCCTTAAAAATACATTTCAGAACTCACTCTGATTTACCCTCAGTTTAATAGACGTTTCTTAAATTAGGTTGGTCTAATGGATATATACGCCAAGGAACTCACAAGTTACCCGAAACCCGGACATTTTTCAACCCGAAACCTGATCCGAAGAAAAATTTTGAAACCTCACCCAACCCCCGAAACGACTTTTTTCTCTACCCGAGTCATCCTAGGTGTTGGAAAATTCTGGATAGCGTTTTGCAACCTCTTACCAATACTGGATCCGGGATCCGGCTCCAGGCATTTCAGAATTGTGATTCCTGCTCCGAAGACATACCCAAAACTGACGCTCTTTCCCCCTATTTATAAAATAAAATTTTCAGCCCAAATGTTTTCATCGTCAATCTTAATGTGAGGTCCCACCGGGTACTTTTCTGTTTTGCCACACCTCACCCATATATTCGCAGGATATATTTTCTATTTTTCCTTAATTCGTACAGAAAGGTCAGTTTTCTTTCTTCCCCAATTTCACTTAATTTTCCCTGTGGATTGACTCAATCTTCCGTGCTCACTCGATTTCTTCAAATGTTGATTTCAATTTTGATGACATTGGAAAGAAAAATTAATCTTTTCTTTGTTGGTGTCTCTCATTGAACATGCCAGAGGGAAAATTGAGTGAAATTGAGGAAGAAAGACTAACCTTTCTGTACGAATTAAGGAAAAATAGAAAATATATCCTGCGAATATATGGGTGGGGTGTGGCAAAACAGAAAAGTACCTCCCACCGTATATATTTAAACTTTCAAACCTTCATTTCCTTAATTCTCCAAAAATTGCTTTCCTCAGTCTTTTTATGTTTTCTCTTCCACCGGTCATAGCCTAGACACGCCTTTCTCAGTTTTTTACAAAGTCTGGGGGCGATTGTTTTTGTTACTCGATTAATTAGCCAATTTGGCAATTTTCCTGTGAAAAATTTAAAAAAATTGAAAATTAAAAAATTTAATTAAAAAACCTTTAGGGTCAACCAAAGTTAAATAAGTAAATTGACATCCTTTTTCCGGTACTTTTCCGCTATGACGTAACCCCCTAAATTAATGTTCAAAATGTCATATATAGAGTAGAAAAAGGTGCTGAGTCGAACGGTACCACTCTTTTTCCACGGAGATGCCTGTAGACCGAGATATAGGGCTCGAAATGGTCAAAAACCATAGGGGGAGTGCGCCTCGCCGACGCCCCATAGGTTTACGTTGACCATTTTGAGCTTGTTCATCTAGTCTCAAAATCAAGATTCGAGCTGATTTTGGTGTCATTCGACTCAGCTCGAGGAACTCTTTCGAATGAGCTATCATTCAAAAAATGGAATTTTTCACCCCAAAATTATGCTTACTCCCCCCTATGGTTTTTGACCATTTCGAGCCCTATATCTCGGTCTACAGGCATCTCCGTGGAAAAAGAGTGGTACCGTTCGACTCAGCACCTTTTTCTACTCTATATATAACATTTTGAACATTAATTCAGGGGGTTACGTCATAACGGAAAAGTACCCTTTTTCCAATGCCTTCACATAATTAATTGTTAAATAAACTGTTCCTCTAATGTAGTCTTTGGTAGGCGGAAATTTCTGAAATGAAAAGATATTGTAAAAGAAGTCCGCAAATATTTTTGTTCGCAAAAAAGTCCGCAAAATTTGTCCGCAAACTTTGTCCGCAAGTATTGTCCGCAAATATTTTTCGCAAAAAGTTGTCCGCAAATTTTTTTTTGATTTGCGGACATTTGACTTGCGGATAAGAATATAAAAAATAAATACATCATGCCAAACAGAATGTGCCAAAATAAACTTTTCTTTGCCCAAATCAGCCCATGAACGTAGCAACACAAAGTCACGATTGCGAAAGGGTGGAAGAGAACCAACTTTAAAAGGATGGTGTAGTGGGATAATTTTTAATTTTCAATCAGAAAGGACGAGGGTTCGACCTCTTTTGAGGGAAAATCATTTTTAAATACACCCTTATATTCTCCCCGCCCTCTTCCTCTTCTAAAAATCTCAATGTCAGATGGTATAGTGGGATAATTCCCAATTTTCAGTCAGAAAGGACGAGGGTTCGAGCCCTCTTAGGTGGTATCATTTTTAACAACCCTATTTTCTTTTTAATTTCAAAACTTTTCAACCTGTATAGTAGCACACATCATTGTTTTGATCCAAGTAGCCAATTCGAGTTGTAGTCATCAAATACTTATCCCACTTAACCAAAAATATTTTTTCATTTTTTAAATAAAACTTCCCCTACTTTATATCGATAATCAGAATCCTTTAAAAAAAATTCAATTAATTAAAAAAAAATTTTTTCAACGTAAAAAACCTGCAAAACATCATAACAGACATCAGCTTGAACATCTTTAAATTCATTCTTAGATTTGTACATTTGAAGTGGAGAATCCGGCAATTTACGGCTCCATACTTTAGTTTTCTTTCCTTCAAATTCAATTTCCCAGTTTGTATTATCTTCACATAAAGCTCTAAAAATTTTTTGAATTTAATTTTACAACTTTTTTTCTAATGCCCTCTTCATAATGCCCGTTTCCCCTTCAAAAAAGATTTTAATGTATGTGTGGTGTAGTGGGATAATTTTTGATTTTCTAGTCAGAAGGGACGAGGGTTCGACCCCTTTTGATGGTAAATCATTTTTTAACACTTCCTTATTTTCTCTCTAGGCTCAAAAGACGTCTCACGGTCACATGGTGTAGTGGGATAATCCCCAATTTTCTAGACAGAAGGGACGCGGGTTCGACCCCTCTTGGGGGAAAATTATTTTTTAATACTTCCCTTCACTTCCCCGCTCTAAAAATAAAGTCTAAAGTCTAAAAAAAAGTCCAAAAAATTTTAAAAAATACTTGGCATATTGATAATCCCCTTCTTCAAGTGTTTTTACAACATTTACATTTATTGAATCCGAAGGTTTTGCACCTTCAACAATAGGCAACCCAACAGATTTTTGTTTGGACAACACTTAAAAGATATAGTTAAACAACTAAAAAGACGAAAAAACCTTGCTCATGACTCTTATTCATTTCCCTTCACAAGCAGAAAAAATAAAAATGTCTCCCCAAGTTTATACAAAAATTTCGCGGGGAATTCTCTCAAATTTTAGTCAATTTATAATTCTAATCCTTTTGTTAAAAAGTAACAAAAATATTTATTTTTTAATCGGATTATTTCCTTATAAACTATTTTTTTTTGGGGGGGGGGGGGGGAATGGAGATGGAATTCTTCTTTGTTCGACAAATAATACAAACTTCAAACTATCAATAAACAATTCTTGTACAAAAAAGTGTAACGTGTCTCTCCACGCTCGATGAAGTAAAAAATTACAAGAGAAGAGGGGGAGACGAATCCCAAAAACCATAAAAGTTCAAAATCAACCCAAATTTCAAAACATGTTCAGATGGTGTAGTGGGATAATTTTTGATTTTCAGTTAGAAAGGACGAGGGTTCAACCCCGTTGGCGGAAATACATTTTTAATTCACCCTATTCTTCCCCAACTGCTTCGCCCTTCAAAAAATTTCAGTGTCAGATGGTGTAGTGGGATAATCCACATTTTTCCAGTTAGAAGGGACGAGGGTTCGACCCCTTTTGAGGGAAAAAAATAAAAATACCCCCAATATTCACTTAAAAGGTCCCTAAACCTAAAATACACAACTTTTAAACAAAACAAAATAATTTTACTCAAAAAACATAACGATTGTATCGGAAAAAACAATTTTATAGATAAATTGTGTATATGTGGGGGGAGGATAGAGAGGAGGAGAGTCAAAGGTCTTTATATGAATGTTTTCAAAAAAAAATCATTAAATATAATTGGAATATAATCAAAAAAGAAGAGATACTCAATTTAATCAACTTCTTCAATGGTTGGACCTCCAGCTCCACCAGCGCCGCCACCACCTCCTGGCATACCACCAGCTCCAGGCATTCCACCAGGCATACCTCCAGGCATTCCAGCACCACCCGCAGATTGATAAAGCTTCGAAATGATCGGATTGCAAATAGCTTCCAATTCCTTTTGATGATGCTCAAATTCTTCCTTCTCAGCAGTCTGGTTGGCGTCTAACCAAGAGAGCGTTTCCTGACATTTGTCCAAAACCTTCTTCTTATCGTCCTCGCTAATCTTGTCCTTGAGCTGAAAAATTTTTGAAGAATTAAACAAGTCCCTTACAAGAGGGTGGACCCTGCCTGATTCAAAAAAGTAAGACAGAAGGGTCGGAAAACAACCTAGCCCCAGCCTATTTCCCAAGGAGACATTTCATCCCCAACACTCTTAAGACAGTCCATCCTTTCCCCCACATCATCACCACACAAAAGTCAGCCCATTCCTATCCCCAAATCCATCCCCAACACAAAAAAACCATCCTATCCTCAAACAAGAAAACCCACCCCCAAGACACCCATTCCCCCCTTTATCACTTCAAAATCAAACCTTATCATCCTCCATTGTCTGCTTGATGTTGAAGCAGTAAGACTCAAGGCCGTTCTTCGCCGAAACACGATCACGCTGAATTTCATCCTCTCCACGATATTTCTCAGCTTCTTGGACCATACGCTCAATCTCGTCTTTGGAGAGACGTCCCTTGTCGTTAGTGATGGTGATCTTGTTTTGCTTTCCAGTCGACTTGTCTTGGGCAGAAACATTCAAAATTCCGTTGGCGTCAATGTCAAAGGTGACTTCGATTTGAGGAACACCACGAGGAGCAGGAGGAATTCCACTCAACTCGAATTTGCCCAACAAGTTGTTGTCCTTAGTCATAGCACGTTCACCTTCATAGACCTTTAAAAAGAATGGAGTTTTCCAAAAAATTTTCAAAAATTTTTCCCAACCTGAATAAGAACACCAGGCTGGTTGTCAGAATAAGTAGTGAACGTTTGAGAAGTCTTGGTGGGAATAGTCGTGTTCCTCTTAATCAACGGAGTCATGACACCTCCAGCAGTTTCAATACCCAAAGAGAGTGGGGCAACGTCCAAAAGAAGAAGATCCTTTAAAAAAAATTTTTCAACTCCAAAAAACACTCCAAAAAAGATACCTGAACATTCTCAGACTTATCGCCAGACAAAATTGCAGCCTGAACAGCAGCTCCATAGGCGACAGCTTCGTCCGGGTTGATGCTCTTGTTAAGTTCTTTACCAGAAAAGAAGTCAGACAGAAGCTTCTGGACTTTAGGAATTCGAGTCGAGCCTCCAACCAAAACAATGTCATGAATCTGAGACTTGTCCATCTTAGCATCACGAATTGATTTCTCAACTGGATCCATAGTACTGCGGAACAAATCGGCGCAAAGCTCTTCAAAACGAGCACGAGTGATGTTGGTGTAAAAATCAATTCCATCAAAAAGAGAGTCAATCTCAATGCTAAAATGGATTCAAGTTAAGGTCTAAAAAAACTTTCAAAAACAACCTCGCTTGAGTAGAGCTAGACAAAGTCCTCTTAGCGCGTTCACAAGCAGTACGAAGACGACGGAGAGCACGCGGATTGGTGGCAAGGTCCTTCTTGTGCTTACGTTTGAACTCAGCAACAAAATGGTTGACCTTAAAAATAAGTTTTCAAACCTAAAAACCCCCCAAAAAACCACAAACCATTCGGTTGTCGAAATCTTCGCCTCCAAGGTGAGTGTCTCCAGCAGTCGACTTGACCTCAAAAATACCATCTTCAATAGTCAAGATTGACACATCGAACGTTCCACCGCCCAAGTCAAAAATCAGAACATTTCGCTCGCCTTGGCCTTTCTTATCCAAGCCATAAGCAATGGCCGCAGCAGTTGGCTCGTTGATGATACGCAAAACATTAAGTCCAGAAATCGTTCCAGCATCCTTTGTGGCTTGGCGTTGACTGTCGTTAAAATAGGCTGGCACAGTGATGACAGCGTCTTTAACGGTTTGGCCTAAGAACGCCTCAGCCGTTTCCTTCATCTTTGTCAAAACCATTGCCGAAACTTCCTTAAAAACCAAAAAATTGAACTCAATCCAAGTAAAATCCAAATCAAACCTCAGGGAAGAACGCCTTCATTTCACCTTTAACCTCCACTTGGATTTTTGGACGAGCACCTTCTCCTTGAATAACCTTGAACGGCCAATGCTTCATGTCCGATTGAACAGCCGGATCGTCAAACTTGCGTCCAATCAAGCGCTTTGCGTCTGAAAATGATTTTTGACTTTTTTATCAAAAAATAAAAGAAAATACCAAAAACAGTATTCGACGGGTTCATTGCCACTTGATTTTTAGCAGCGTCGCCAATCAGACGCTCGGTGTCCGTAAAGGCAACATACGATGGAGTCGTGCGATTTCCTGAAGAAAATAAAGTTAGAACTCGAAAACTCGTTCAGAAAACAAACCTTGATCATTAGCAATGATTTCAACTTTTCCATGCTGGAATACACCGACGCACGAATAAGTTGTTCCCAAATCAATTCCGACAGCGTTAGCTTTAGACATTTTTAAAAGATTTTTTTAAAATGATAGCTGAAAAATTAGACAAGATTAGACGATTAGGAGGAGTGAAATAAGTGTGAAAACGCGAAAATGAAAATAACTCAAATCCTTATATAGTCAGAAAATAAGGGGGATATCGCGAAAATATTCAAAAGTCAAAAGAACAGAGCCTATCAACCCCAAACTTAAGGAAGTCAAAGGGACTGAAAAATGACGAAAACTCAAATCCTTATGTAGCCAAAAAGAAAGGGGATAACTCGAAAGTACCTAAAAAGCCACTAAAATAGAACCCAGACAACCCCAATCCCTTAAACAGTCGAACGAAACGGTTAACAGAAAAAGTAACGATTTAAAGATCTAGAAAATTCTTTCTTTTATACGAAAAATGATTTTTATAGTAAGCAAAAGCTTCTCATTTTGCAATCTTCCACTACACAGAAAAAATGAAAAAGTATGAATATGACAACAGCGTCTTCTTAAATAACTTTTCCTTAGAATTTGCGAGAGAACAATGGAACATTCTAGAAGTTATTTTAATTGAGATGTTTTGACGCCAAATTTTAACTGCGATGAAATATTCGCAATGAAACGACCAAAGTAAATGTCAAAAACTTTCGTGTCTGCGTGTCTCTTCTATCTAAGTTTTCTTTTCACCTTCTCTGTCTCTTTCACTTTCTACTTTGAGACGGAACGTCATTTTTTGTCTTTCTTGACATTTTGTCTGTAGGGATTTCGTATTCTTCATGCCTTCTAAATTTTGTTTCGTAAACTTTTTATTTTTCCTCAAGCTAAAAATCCTCCATTTCCTCACAGTTTTAAGTTTATTAAAAGTTTAAAAAATGTCTTCAGGCGTGTATCGTGGAGGAGTATTAAAATTGAAAGGGAAAAAACAATTGTAAGGATATTTTCTTAATTTTACTTAATTTATTCAAATTTAGATTTAAGTCAAAGAAGAATACAGAGAAGAATGCCAAAGCAAGTTCATCGAAGATAGACGAGGATGCTGAGGAAAGAGGTTTTTAAATTTAAATAATTATAATTTATGTATATTAATTGCGTGACCTTTACATGATTTTATGGCCCGTCCCGAAATTTTAAGGGCACACGGGTACAAACTGGATCCTCCCGTCAGTTCCTTTTAAATCCCTCCCGTCAGTTCCTTTAAAACTCAATCATTTACGGGAACCCGTCAATGCGTTTTTGCCTTACTCTAGTTTATATTTAATAGGCGGTTGGAGAAGAATAGAAAACGAAGCCGAATTGAAAGGAGGAATTGATATTGCTATTGAACATGGTGATTTTTCAAAATGCTATTTGTCTGCTATGGACAACGGCAAATTTACTCTTGGCGCTAGACATGTGTGTCATGGAGAGCCTCCAAATCCTGAAGAGATTCTTTCATTGATTAAATGCCCTGATGAGCCTAAAATAAGGTTAGACTTTAATTTCTAAAATTTACCCCTCCTTTCAGCCTCAAAACAGGTTTTGGAAAATATGTTGGATTTGATTCTGGAGGTTGCCTAATTGCGACTGCTGACGCTATAGGTGATAGAGAACGCTTTGGTGTGGTATTTCAAGATGTAAATATATTTTTCTGCTTAATTTTTTAATATTTTTGTTTAAAGGGAAAGTCAGCATTGCTTGCCCATAATGGATTTTTTCTTTCACTTGCACCGGATGATGACGGCTATGTTTATGTCAGCTCAAAAACAGCGCATGCCAATGAAATTATCAACGTTTGAATTTTTTAATATTTTTTGTTTAATAGGATTCCGTTCCCAAAAATTTTCCCAGCTGACAATATTTAGGCGGATAAAGGGGCTCATGATGAATAATTATCTGGCTTGCTCCCCATTTTCCTTATCTGACAGTTTCACGTGAGCATTTCCGTCCTCCCCCTTATTCAAAAAAAATTTATCCTAATTCACCTAAATATTTGGAGTTGACATTTAGGGTCATTTGACCTTTTGGCTGATCCCCAAAAATATCAAAGAATCCCCTTTTGCCTATAAATTAAAAATTTATAATTTTTCAGATTCGAACAAATACAGAAAAGGAAGGTCCCGTAGATTGGCTCACTGCTGACGATAAGAAAAAGGCTGCTGATTGTGAAACTGCTTATGTGTATGCTTTTTATTTTTCCTCAAAAATATTTAAAAAATATTTCAGTAAAATGTATCAACATTCGCGAGTTGAGCTCAAAAACAAATGCATCAGTTATAATGTTGCGGACAAATCAGAAGTGAAAAGGGCACAGAGGGAAGGTGATTTACATGAAACTCTTTTGAATCGACGAGCGAAATTAAAATCGGATAAGTATTGCTAAAAATGTGTATATTTTTATTTTTTTCGATTTTTTAAATAAATTTTGCTCCTATATTTCTAGGAAGTATTGGAGGTTTTACCCTCACCGTGTTTATGGGAGCCCCCTCCCCCTTTACTTTTGGGAGGCCCAAGGAACATTTTGATACAGAACAGGGATGTCACGGGTTCAGAAAAAAGTCACAACGTCGAATCGGGTATCGGGTTGAAAAAAGTCCAGGTATCGGGTTGGGTCATTTAGAGGGATTAAGAGGGGAAAGTTGTTTTGGTTTTTGGAAATTTTTGGATAGGGTCTACTTATGGCAGGCCTAATGATTTTCCTATACAAAATACAAAAAATTCCACAAAAACTTTTATTTTTAAAATTATTTATTATTACAAATTAAATAAATATTTGACAAAATACAAAGTGAATAGGAAGGCTTTTAGCTATTAAAATCTTTAAATTTCAAAAATTACTTGAAAAAATTTTTGGGGGAGGTTTTTATAGACAAAATGTCCAATCGTTTGGCTATTTTAAATTTAACAGAATTAGGGATTTTAATTAGTTTTTAATTAATTTTTTAATTAATGGTCCAAAATACGTAAATTCCCTGAGACTATTTTATTCTCCAAAACCGTTCCAGCCGGAATGTCAATTCGATCACCATAATTGGCTATGATAATTACGGTTCCCTAAAAATTTGATTTAGTAAAATCTCGGGTAATCTTCTGCTTCATTGGTCCCTAGAAAAAAATGAGGAAAAAGTGCTTGTTCGACATTTTTGAGGCATGCCAGTATGTACTCGAGCTTGCTGAGTCCGAATATGAGCTTAGAATTTGTTTATTTCGAACCCCGAACCCAAATTCGACCAAGTATAATTTGGGGTAAAAATTCGAAATTTCAAATTTTATGCCTACTCGGACTCGTCTCTTCGAGCTGAGTCGATTGGTATCAAAATTATTACGTTTCGACATCTTTGGACGGAGTTATGGTGTCGGATTTATATACGGAAGTCTGACCAAGCATTATTTAATTGATCATAACTCAGTCTAAAGTTGTCGAAACGCAATAATTTTGATATCATTCGACTCAGCTTGAAGAGACGCGTCAGAATAGCATAGCCTAATAGTTTCGAATTCTTACCCCGAATTCGACTTGGTCGAATTCGGGTCCGGGGTTCGAAATAAACAAATTCTAAGCTCAGATTCGGATTTAGCACACTCAATTACCTACTGACAGACCTCAAAAATATCGAAAAAGCACTTTTACCACATTTTTTTCTAGGGACCAATGAAGCAGAAGATTGCCAAATCTCGTCGTATGTCCCCGAAAACCGATTCAGATAAACAATAGGTCATTCAAAGAGCTCGTCAAGCTGATGTGAGTCGGATGACGCCAAAATTAAGCTTCGGTCTCAACTAAGGGCCAAGATACAATCCCCTCAATAGCAAGAAACCATAGGGGAACCAAGCTCATTTTTAGGGTAGCCTGACTCCCTCTCTACTACATTTATTGACCATTATCAGCCCATAATTTGGCTTACAATTAAGACGGGAGCTTAATTTTGGGTTTGGTTCGACTCGGCTCGACGAGCTCATTCAAATAACTTATTGACTGTTTGAATCGGTTTCCGGGATATATGACAGAAATTTTTCAATTAAATTAACCTTTAAAGTCACATCCCTTCCAAACCAAACATCGCCTGAAACTGTCAAGTGATCCAGTTCCAAAAGATCAGGAATTCCTTGAAATCTTTTTGAAAATTCTTTGACTTTATCGAAGGAGCTGCCCAATTTAACGAGTGGAGTAGTTGGAAAAGAACGCAAAGAACTGAGCGTTACATAGCCATTTTCAATGTCATAGAGGTTGCTCATTAGTAGCAGCAAATCGGAGGTTTTCTTGACGGGCAAAAAGCGTGATCGAGGGACGTTAATGCCTAAATTTATTTAAATTTATTGTAAACATTAGAGCTTGACTCCAGGACTGAACGAGTGGCACGGAAATTGGCTATTTTAGTTAAATACGGCGTTTCGAGGGTTCCAACCAGGAAAACCCCATCCGAGTCATCTCGGAAGAAAACCCCCCAGATAGCGGGCCTGGCTCGACACCGAGCCGTAGCAAAGTTTTTTTTGGGCCCAGAAATCAGGAATTTTGGTTAAATCCGTTTTTCAGGGTTCTAACCAGGAAAACCCCGGCCCGAGTCACCCCGAAATAAAAAAATATACCGCAAGCATTTTTGAAGCATTTTACTGCAGCACCAGCAGCTGTTTCAAGTTGGATTACGTCTACTCCCCTGTCCAGATGTTTTGGGTTGACAATTACCTTAATTTGAGATTTTAGAATAAATTCATAACTAGAATAATTAAAAAACCTCTATATCCAATTCTCCAGCGGTTACAACACGTTTAATTGCTTCAAGATTGGCCCAAAGGTTGTTGGTGTTGAATATTCTAAAAAATGAATTTTGAATGCATCTTGAATAGGTTTGTCGGTTATTGAGGAATTTCGGATACACGGAACCAAACCAAAAAATCATCGGTCTAACCGACAACCCTACTCTTGAAGCCAAGAATAATCCCAACTCATAAAAATTAATATTAACCTGAATTTGTTGACCGATTTGAATTCTAAAAATAATTTTTTAATAAATAGTAATTAATTCCAAATTCATACCATCAACATAATCAGGCGGTACTTGCGCAATTTCGAGTAACATTAAGCGTCCTTCATACTCGATCCTGGAAAATTTAAAAATTAATTTAATTACAATTTCTGAGTCAACCCAAAATTGACAGGTTGTCTTGTTCATCAATAAATTGGATAATAGGGTTGGCAATCCTGGAAAATCTTAGGATATCCGGATCAGAAATCCGAACATACTTTTTTGGATATCCAGTCTATTTCGATATCCAGTCCTTTTTCTGATCCGATATTATGGTTGCCAACCTCACTGAATAAACCAGAAAAAAGAACCCCCTCTTAACCTCCCACAAAGAAACTGGGTTACTTTCCCATTTATTCTTCCCAGAAATATTTCTTTCTACTTACAATGTGCCTCCTTTAACATCAGCTCGTGTCTTGTCCGTAACTTCCATAATAAATTCAGAATCACGATTCGTCATATAATTCAAGATGTTTGGGTCTACAGTCGCCCCCAAATTGTCAATGTTTGAGAGGAATACATATTTCTTTCCTTGACCCAAAAATATGTCCAGTAATCCACTAAAAATAAAAAAAATTTTTAAAGAAATAAAGTTAAGACACTAAACCTTGCCAAAAAAGATTCATAGAAATTGCCGTGTCCTGGTGGGTACCAACTAAAAAATAGAAAGATTAGAAGGATTAAGTAAGTTAGGATGAATTGAGATAGGAAGTTCTTCTAGCTTGATTCCTCTACGTTTAAGGTAGTGTGTGATCTTACGGGGAAACAGAGTTGCGGGGATTTTTCGGAGCCCTCCGCGAGCTTCCCCAGGGAATTCTAAGGGAAACGGGGCTCGACCCTAATTGAAAGTAAGGTCGAAAGAATGAGTGGAGAGGACTGGGAAGATCCTCGAATAGTCCCAACTTAAAGTTCCAGGGAATATCGGAATTCCTAAAGGTTATTTAAGCAAAAATTACCATTCAATATCATTATCGTCAACACTGCGTGCAATAGGAACATAGGATTCTCTATCAATTCGCGGGTATTTGGATTGAGGAAACGAGTGGACCTTTGAAGGGAAAAACATTAAAAAAACATTTTTTCAAATTTACTTCAACATGAACATTTGTATATTTTTTCAGCAATTTTTGAGTATCCTCGTCAGTGTTGAAACTGTTCTGAAAAAGTAGGAAAATTGAAAAACGAAAAAATTTTTTAAGATTACCATAAGCACCAAAGGAACACTGACATCATATTCACGGTTCAAATTCTGTGGAGAAAGGAAATTTTTTCAGATTTTATTGAGTACCTGTATTTGTTGCAATGTCAGATCAAGAAAAGTAAGGTCATTGCGCACTGAAATCATTGACCTAGAAAATTAAAAAAAAATTTTTTTTGGGATAATCCTGTTTCCTGTAAAAGGTCCCTCCAAGGAAGTCAACTCCCGGCGGGTCAACTGCTAGGAGGTCAACATGGTCCACATATTTTTTGGAGTTGACCACCAGGATCACGTCACCTCCCCGGAGGTCAACACCTTATAGATCAACTCTCTGATGGTCAACATATTTGGAGCTGACTTCTAGGATCAGTCTACCAATAGGGTGTTGACCTCTAGGATCACGTCAACTCCCAAGAGGTCAACACCCTATAGGCCAACTCTCTGATGGTCAACATATTTGGAGCTGACTTCTAGGATCAGTTGACTAATAGAGAGTTGACCTTTAGAGTGTTGGCCTCCAGGATCAGTTGACCTCCTGAGTCGATCCCCTCAAAAAAACATACTTTGGTCCCTTACAGCCCATTGAAGTTCCCTAAAAATATTTTTTCTTAAAAAACATTTTCTTAAAATAAAATTACCAATCCTCCATTAAGTTTTACGACAACTAGAGAACTCAGCAATTCACGTACAATCTCCTTTTGCCCTCTAACCATATTTAATTGAGCATAGGGAATAATTAATTCTTCTTGTAAAGGACGCACTTCTCTCAAAAAATAAATTTATTTTTAAAATTAATTAAAATTTAAAACTTCCAATCTATAACAGTTCTGGCGCGAAGAAAGCGGATAAAGAGTGATTTAAAATTTGCAAATTCTTTTTTCCAGTCCTCTGCCTTTAAAAATAAATTAATTTAAACAGAAGCAAAAGTTTGAACTTGCGCTTTACTAAACTTAAGTTTCCGGAAAGACCAGAATTTTATTTAGAGTCGAAACTTAAGTTTCCGGAAAGTTAATTTTATTTAAAGTCAAAACTTAAGTTTCCGGAACCAGAATTACATTATTTAAGATCAAACTTAAGTTCCCGGAATTTATTTAATAACCAAACTTAAGTTTCCGGAGAAATCAGAATTAATTTTATCCAGAATTAATTTTATTTAAGAGTCAAAACTTAAGTTTCCGGAAATGTCTAAAACTTAAGTTTCCGGAAAAATCAGAATTATTTTATTTAAAAGTCAAAACTTAAGTTTCTGGAAAAATCAGAATTAATTTTATTTGCAACCGCAACTTAAGTTTCCGGAAGTGTCTAAAATTTAAGTTTCCGGAAAAATCAGAATTATTTTATTTAAAAGTCAAAACTTAAGTTTCTGGAAAAATCAGAATTAATTTTATTTGCAACCGCAACTTAAGTTTCCGGAAGTGTCTAAAATTTAAGTTTCCGGAAAAATCAGAATTATTTTATTTAAAAGTCAAAACTTAAGTTTCTGGAAAAATCAGAATTAATTTTATTTGCAACCGCAACTTAAGTTTCCGGAAGTGTCTAAAATTTAAGTTTCCGGAAAAATCAGAATTAATTTTATTTAAGAATCAAAACTTAAGTTTCCGGAAAGATCAGAATTAATTTTATTTAGGATCGCAACTTAAGTTTCCGGAAAGTTTCCCATAAACATTTAAAATAATAAGTACTACACCTTATTAGCCGGAGCAGTTTTCAATAATCGATCCAATTCCTGATTCAACAAAGAAAAGGTTTCTCTTTTTGTTGAGCTTTTCCATTCTTCAGAACTCTGAAAAAAAATTTTTTTTAAGTTTATAATTTTGATTTGTCCCCCAAAGAAATTAAAAAAAATTTCCCCACTTCACTCGTCGAAATTAGGCGTTGCATTCTATTAGCTAATTTATCAGCAGTAGATGATTGGTTTAATACGGAAGAAGCAGTGGAAGAATTAAATAACATTTTTAAATATTTATTTTCTTAAAAAAGGACAAGTGAGTAATCAGAAAGGACAAAATACGAGGAAAGATCATGAGAAAATTACTAATTTTAGAAATAAGGTGAAGTAGAAAGATAACCAATATTAGTTGTTTACTCTTAAAAGACACCTTTTGTTGTTATCTTTGATTTTTGTTGTGCTTTTTATTACTACTAATCACAAGTCAAAGTGTAACAAAATAAACGTGAATCGGTGTAAAAAGGTCAACAAATGAAGATCCACCTCCTTTAGATCAAAAATCAAGATGTAAACAAAATAGACAAGGACAGAAGAAAGCAGAAAATAGTAAGGAAAAAGAAGAGAGTTTTCTCTAACCTCTCCTGATTTTCCCTACTATTTTCTATCTCTTCCGGAAACTTGCTCATTTCCGGAAATTGTAACAATTTGAAAACAGACAGACAGAAAATAGTATCGAAAAAGAGAAGATTTTTCTCTACCCTCTATTTATTCCCCTACTATTTCCACTACTTCCGGAAAATTTGCAACTTCCGGAAAAGTAGCAATGTGTTCGTCAAACTTCCAAGTTTTTCGATCTTATCTCTTCAGAAAATCAAAGAGAATAATTTTTACAATTTTAAAGTAAATAGAATTTAAATTTTCATGAGAAAAGATAAAAAAATTTTTTTTAAATGTCTGTTTGTCAAATAAAAATGAATTTGCTAAACACTCTCGTGATGAATAAAAAGAAGAAATAAAACCAATTTTTCTCTTCCTCCCCTTCTTTTTATAAACGATAAAAATTCTTCAAAAGTAATAAATTATAATGTCAGATATTCCAATAGGAAAGTTCACTTCTGACCATTAGTCTCAAAATTCAAGAGGAAGGGAAAATATAGCCCCAAAATCCCAGACTCTAGTGTCCACTCAACCAAAAATTTTATTGGGTACAGCCCAAATAGGCGCGCGGCTATAACGGCGCAAAGCCATAACATGCTGGAAAATGTCTGGCCCTTAACAAGTTTGGCACCAATCTTCTTTAGCTCGATGAGAGGAATCGTTTGATACTGAATTTGGTAAGATTTGGCAATTTTGAAGCAAGTTATGGCTTTGCGCCTTTATGGCCTTGCGCCTAATTGGGCGTGTCCCATTTTATTCCAACAAAATTCACTTCCGACCATTAGAGTCTCAAAATTCAAGAGGAGGGAAAATATCGCCCCCGAAATCCCAGACTCTAGTGTCCACTCAACTAATAAAATTATCGGTCTGGGTCAATTACTCTCGAACCCCAACAAGACCTTTCACCCTCCAACTGCTTATCGATTTATAAACATTTTTGTTTACCAAACCAGTTGAAATAATAAATTCCACCCACCCTTAATTCTCGATGAGCTGCAGTAAATAATGTTTCTCCAGGTGCGGAAGAAAGTAATAAATTTCCGAGTTGATTTGCCATTAAATTGACACTGAAAAGAGTTGCTTTTAAACTTAATTAGAGAAGAAATGAAAAAAAATTTTTAAATAAAAATCGAATTTTCTAGGTACTCTAATAGACAAGTAAATTAGCTGGAGGAAAATTCTCCCTCAAACAAAAAAATTAATTTGAAGATTGTTCACTAGAAAGCTAGAAGAGACGCTTGAAGAGACGCTTGAAGAGAATGCTTTAAAATGCAAATGCGGTAAAACTAGAAAAATAGAAAATGGGAAAAATAAAAATTGTAAACAAAAATATAAACAAAAATATGTAGGGAAACGAGAGCAAAAAATAAAAAAAAATTTTTGTTTGGTTTGTTGTTGTTGACTAATCTAAGCCTCAACATATGGTGAGATGAAAGGTCAGAGAAATATAGGGGAAAGTATGTTGAGTGTTTTTTCTAGTATTTTCTACTATTCTCCTCTGTTTCCTTTGTTCTTTGCTCTCCTTCCTTTCCGGAAAGTTTTAAAATTAAAATTCTGATTTTTCTTTCCGGAAAGTTCTGGCGTTAATTTAAAAATACTTTTTGGCGTTTTTTGCGCACACTTGAAGGAGTCAAAAAAAAATTTTTTTTGGAACTTGAGCTTTTCATTTTTCGTGTAAAAACAGGTTCAGGTAAATTATGGCCACTTGATTTTTTATTCAAAGTAACCAAAATAAAAGGAAAAAAAACTCGCGCAGCATGATCATCTCAAGTTGAAGATTTGCTTCAAAAAAGGAGGATGATTTTTATTTTTAATATTAATTGCACTTTGAGGACACACTTCCGGGTTAGAAACTGAAAAGCGAAAAATAAGTCTCTTCACTTTTTAATATAAAAAGAATGCAAAACACTCATTTTTGACACTTTTTAAAAATAAATATTTTTTGGCGTTTTTTGCGCTCACTAAAAATAAAATAAACATAATGCCAAATTTTCCCTTAATTTTTTTAATTTTTATTTTTTCAATTTTTCACTTTATTCCATTAAAATCTCAATTATTAATCCATTCAACTCATCAGCCAAGATCTCTAATCTCCTCAAATTCTCGTTTTCGTCAATGCGCCTGTCCTACACGCCAATCTTCCCCTTTAAGTGGAAGCAAAGCCAAAGCTGCCCCCAAACAAAAATTTTTGCCAAAAATGCTTCAAGGAACGTCCACAGACATGCTATTTGATAAAAATTTAGTTGACGGATTTTTAACGCCTTTAAACCCAAACAAAGAGGAAAAGAAACGTAAAGGAACTGGAAGAAGTGGAAGAGAATGGAGACCGAAAAGAGAAGCTAATAAAATTGTGGATTTGGCTTTGGCAGATCCAGAAAAGAATAAATGCAACAGTGAAAGGCTTAGACAGATAATTTTAAAGGCAAAATTAATTTTATTTTATCTTTTTCTTTCTCCTAGGGAGAGCTTGGGAGGTCAAGGAGTTAAAAATAGGCCAAATTAGAGATTAGACCAAGATGAGCAGGGCTGTGCGCAAAGATTTTCATGTGGCGCGCCAAAAGCCAAACGCCAATTTTTGAATTATTAAAACACGCCAAACGTCAGAACGCCAAAATCGGCTAAAATTGCAACGCCAAAACGTCATGGCGCACAGCTCTGAAGACTAGGTCTTCGAAAACCAGACCTAACTATTTTCTCAACCATGACCATCCCTGCCACGAATGGACCTAGCTCCGTGTTAAACTAATAATCTAAAAAATAAACAGGCTCGAGGACGTGACAGTACTACCTTAAAACGAAATATACAAACATTGGCAGAACGCACTCTACTTGCCCGATTTAGTGTAATATGTGCTAAGAATGATTTTTCGTATATTTCAAATACTGAAGTAATTTTTGAAAATTTTTTAAAATTAAAAAAATTTAAGGAATTTTGCCAAGAAAAAATAAATGGAAATATTTGTTATGTATTTAAACAGGCTGGTAGAGAATTGGCTTTTCCAGATCCCCCAAAGTTGGATCATTTTAAACGGGGGACGCAGAGAAAGAATAAAGAGGAAAGAGAAAAGGAGAATTAATAATTAGACAGATTTTGTGCATAAATTTTTTAACTGAAAAAATTTCAAAAATTTCAAAAAAATTTTCAAAAATTTTTCAAAAAAAAATTTTTTTTCTTCTCCCACCCTCCCCCCTTCCTTGTTGTTCCTCTTCCCCTCCGACATTGCAAAAAAATTCTAAATAAAATATGTTTACATATAACATTCCTCTTTACTCCATTCATCATTTATTCTTCTACTACTCCCCGCAAAATCCTATCACTTTCTAACAAAGCAAGGGAAATTGATTTGTTTTTCATCATTTTTTATTATTTGTACCTTTAAACTACTAAATGTTTTTACTTAAATAGTTTGGTGGTAGTTTGTTTTTATTAAATTCTGGTTTTTCCGGAACCCTTAATTCTGATTTTTACGGAAATTTTCATTAAATTCTGGTTTTTCTGGAGATGTTTTTATTAAATTCTGGTTTTTCCGGAAATGTTTTTATTAATTTCTGGTTTTTCCGGAAATGTTTTTATTAAATTCTGGTTTTTCCGGAAATGTTTTTATTAATTTCTGGTTTTTCCGGAAATGTTTTTATTAAATTCTGGTTTTTCCGGAAATGTTTTTATTAAATTCTGATTTTTTTTTATTTTCTTTCAGAATATTTTTAAAAATGTTTGTTCCTCAACAAAAACAATTCTTTCCGGAAAATTCCCCAGCAATAGTTGTTCAAAAGCAACGACCAACTTCCTCTAGCTCTTCATCATCGCCTATCGCCCTTCGCGCTAATCCAAAGGGTGTTATGCAACAATGTATTTGTGAAAGACTTAGTTGTTTAGTTGTTTGTCGCAGGTAAATATTTTTAATTTATTTTTTTAAATGTTTTTATTTCTCAGATGTGGTCATGATTTAATTGGTCGGGTTCTTAGGCAAGAGAAAATTTTAAAATAAAATTTTTCCAAAAATTTTTCATTTTTTCAGTCCTTGCTCAATGCATCCACGACGAATTGCACTAATGGATTTGCGTGAATGTCCAAATTGTCGAAGTGTTCAGCTAAGTGAAGTTGCTTGAAAAACACCCAAATTTTTGATTCTAAAATATGTTTTTGATTTTTATTTTTAAACTAAATTATGTTTTAATTAAATTCTGATTCTTCCGGAAATTGTTTTTACTAAATTCTGATTTTCCCGATAATGTTTTTATTAAATTCTGATTTTTCCGGAATTGTTTTTATTAAATTCTGAATTTTCCGGAAATGTTTTTATTAAATTCTGATTTTTCCGGAAATGTTTTAATTAAATTCTGATTTTTCCGGAATTGTTTTAATTAAATTCTGATTTTTCCTGAAATGTTTTAATTAAATTCTGATTTTTCCGGAATTGTTTTAATTAAATTCTGATTTTTCCGGAAATGTTTTTATTAAATTCTGATTTTTCCGGAAATGTTATTATTAAATTCTGATTCTTTCCGGAAATGTTTTAATTAAATTCTGATTTTTTCGGAAATGTTTTTATTAAATTCTGGTTTTTCCGGAAATGTTTTAATTAAATTCTGATTCTTCCGGAAATGTTTTTATTAAATTCTGGTTTTTCCGGAAATGTTTTTATTAAATTCTGATTTTTCCGGAAATGTTTTAATTAAATTCTGGTTTTTTCCGGAAATGTTTTTATTAAATTCTGGTTTTTCCGGAAATGTTTTTATTAAATTCTGATTCTTCCGGAAATGTTTTAATTAAATTCTGATCCTTCCGGAATTGTTTATATTAAATTCTGGTTTTCCCGGAAATGTTTAATTAAATTCTGATTATTCCAGAAATGTTTTTATTAAATTCTGATTTTTCTGGAAATGTTTTAATCGAATTCTGATCCTTCCGGAAAAAATCCAACCAGAATTTTTATTAAATTCTGGTTTTTCCGGAATTGTTTTTATTAAATTCTGGTTTTTCCAGAAGATCACCAAAACATGTGTTGATCTTTTGGAAAGTATTTTAATTTTAATATTTTATTAACACTACTTTAATATTTAATTTAAACGAAAGAAATTTATTTTTGCCTTTCTATTTACACGTATAAAACCGTTTTTGCTCAAAACTTCGTTAATTTTTCATGCCCGAGTAATTGGCTTCTCCCCTCCTTTTTTCTTAAGAAAAATACCTTTACCAATTTTTATTTATTTTCCCCCCGCTGAGTCTCAAAAAAAGCAATTACCGTCCCCTATTATATTAAAAAAGTCATTCAGTCAGCCGTGGCACTTGACAACGAGAGATATTTAAATAGGAAGGGAGGGTCTCCGATTAATCCTTAAAAGTATATTTTTATTGAGAGAGAAAAGCCGTCACTTGTTTGCTTTTTAATATGCATTTCAAAAGCTTTTGGGGGACTTTTTTGCTGCTTTTGGGGCTTTAAAGGCTTTTTAAAGGCCTTTTTTACCTGTTAATGGTTTATGCAACGAGAGTTTAGGCAAACAATCCAAAAACAAGTTGAATGACTTGGCTTATCCGTTTTGGAGTTTTTCTGGCGTTTTTTTTGGGTAAAATGACATTTGGTCCCACTAAGGACATTTGGCCTCCAATTAATTTTTAAAATCTAAAAAATATTTTTTCTGACCTTTATGAACCCTTTACCTTAAAAATCTGTCAAATCCCCAACTTTCGCCGTTTTTGGCGTTTTTTCGCGATAAAATGACATTTGGTCCCACTAAGGACATTTGATCGGGTAGGGGATCATTGTGTACCGGCCGTTTGTGTACCTGGCCATATTTTGGGCCATAACTTTTTCAATTCTTAATTGATTTAAATAAATGATATATCAATTGAAAGCCCTGGATGTGAGGATTATTTTCGCCAACAGGATTGATTTGATCAGATAATCATACAAAAAGTTACAGACAGATAAAGATCAAAATCACGATTGAGCGCATTTATCGAGATATAACTTTTTATAACATGATCTGATCAAATCAATCCTGTTGGCGAAAATAATCCACACATCCAGGGCTTTCGATTGATATAATAATAATTGAAGTCGGTTAAGAATCAAAAAAGTTATGGCCCAAAATATGGCCAGGTACACAAACGGCCGGTACACAAGTGGGACGTTCCGCATTTGATCCCCAACTAAATTTTAAAAATTAAATCTTTTTTCCTTTTTGAACCCCTTTTTCTTTAAAAATCCATCAATTCCTTTAAAAAAGTTTCTTCTTTCCCCTCTTAAAGCACGTCAACTCAAATTAATTTACAAGTGATAAAGTAGCAAAAAACAGTAAATGAAAGCACCAAACAACACCTCTACTTCTTCCTCCCTTCCTCCTTTTTTTCTTCCTCTTCTTCACCTTCCCCCTAATTTCTTGGCACATCAATCCTTTAATTTTCTTTAAAAAACTCTTTTTTTTCACGTTGACATTTGCCTCAATTTCCATTTTTAATTTGTCTTTTTTAGGCAAAAAAAACTTTGAATATTTAAGGGATGAGAGAAAAGAAGAGTAAAAGGGAAGAGATTTGAAATTAATATCCTCTTTTTATTTTTTATTTTTCCCTCAAAAACTAATTTTCTGTACTTTTAATACAAAATTAATATCTCCTTTTTTCCTTCGTTTTTCTGAAAAATTTTTTCAGAATTTTTCTTCAGAATTTCTGAAAAAAATTCTGATTTTTTTTTTTCAGAATTTCTGAAAAAATCAGAATTTTTTTTCAGAATTTTTTTTTTAGAATTTCTGAAAAAATCAAAATTTTTTTTCAGAATTTCTGAAAAAATCAGAATTTTTTCAGAATTTTTTTTCAGAATTTCTGAAAAAATCAGAATTTTTTCAGAATTTTTTTTCAGAATTTTCAATTTTTTTCAGAATTTTTTGTTCACAAATGAATACCCAACGGCATGTTGCCGGTTCCTCAACTTCTACCACTACTAGAAAAGGTTCTGGAACCCAAAAACTTTCTGGATCAACAAGTGGGAATGCTTGGGCTTCACAAACTGAGAAAAATGAAAATATTAAAATTGAACTGAACGACTTGACAAACAAAAATTTAAACGAAGAAAATGATAGAATTGATAGTTTGCATATTCACACAAATCCAATTTTGAGGTTTATAGAGAATTCTAGGCTTTGTAGATGCTCAAAAAGGGTTGGTTATATTTTTTAATTTTTTTGTATAGACTGGCCTGCCAGTTGTTTCCGTGGGTTAGTCTGCCTGCTGGGATTCCGAGGGTTACTGGAATGTTCAGTCACTCCTGTTTCCATCGGAGCCTCCCTTCAAATCTCATGGGATATACTGTCATCTATCGACTTTCTCTTGGTACACAAGTGTAAGGAACGAGAGGTCCCTTGAATTTCTGCCAGTTGTTAGGGGGGGGGATAGGGTTAAAGGATGCCTGCTGGAATATTCAATCACTCCTTTTATGTCAACCGATTCTCCTAGGGGGAGTCTCATATGTCGTCAACCAACTTCCCAAATTTTGGGTCCTTTCCAGTTTGGTATTTGTGCGGTTTTTGATGGTTTGTTATTTCGGCTGGTCAGGAAAACTAAGAAAAAAGGGCGCGAACGAAGTACTATCCTTTTAACTTTTAAAAATCTTTTTTAGAATCAATTAGCAATTCTCGCAAATCTGGGCTTTCTTATCGTCTTTGGAATTCGTTGTAATTTTGGAGCAGCCAAAAATCACATGTCTAGAGGTTTTTACTTTTATTTTTTTTACTTTTAAAAATTAAATTTTTCAGATTTTTATGATCCTTGGGGCAAAAAACACGTAAAAACAAATTTATTTTGAGAATTAAAAAATTTATTTAAAGAAGCACTCTTTTAATTGGACTAGTGCTGAATTGGGAGTGATGGAATCTTCCTTCTTTTATGGATATTTAATTACTCAAATACCTGCTGGATTTTTGGTTAGGTTTTTTTTGATTATTGAACCCTATCTTAACCCAATTTTCAAAGATCTAATCCGCACTTATTCTAGAGCTCTCTTACTTATCCCAATTATTTTTTATCTCTTACATCCTTCCATATACCCCGACATTTTATCACCATGTCCTAACCCGTCCTCACATATCCCTCTCTTATCATATAGCCTCACATATCCCAACCTTTATCCACACAGCCTATATATCCCTACCTCTTCCCCACATATCCGGCTTTCCCAATATCACATTACTAACAAATATTAGGGTTGTCGGATCCGCCGGATATCCGAAGATTTCCAACTATTCGACAACCCTACCACATATCCCAATTTTCTCTCATATCACAATCTCTTCCCCCACTTCCACACATACCCCTATCTCTTCTCACATATCCCAATCCCTTAGTTATCCTCATCTCACCCTTAAGGCACATAATAGCAAATAGAATATCACAAAATTTTTTTTTAATTTTCAAAAATTTTCTAGGCCGCCAAATTCCCTGCAAATAAGCAAGTTTATTTAATTCAAATATTCTTATAAATTTTCTCATAAAAAGAATGTTTGGATTGGCTATTGGAGGGGCTTCTTTTCTCAATCTTTTATTGCCCTACTCTTTTCACTCACATTCTGATTTTATGGTTTATTTTAAAGGAAAATAATTTTTAAATCAAATTAACAGGTTGCTATAGTGCAGATATCTCAAGGACTAGTACAGGTTAATTTAATAAATAGGCTCTATTTGGAAGGAAGAGTCCCTTCAATTTTTCTGTGTGGTGGGCAAATTAGTTCCCTTTCACGGGCGTGTGGTTTCGTCTTTCGCTTTTGGTGTTTCGTCTTATACCTTTCGACTTTTTTCGACTTTCGTATTTCGCTTTTTTAGAATCAGTTTTGGCATTCCCCTCAAAAAAGTAATAGGACCCTCTCTTCCAGTTAGATCCATTTTTACAACTTTTAATCTTTCTTTTTTTGTAGGGTCTCGCCTATCCAGCAATGCATGGTTTCTTACCAAAATTAAAACTCCAAAAAATATTTAAAGGTGTTTGGCGTTATTGGGCGCCTCCACTAGAAAGATCGAAATTGGCAACGACTGCCTTCACAGGGTAAAAAAAATTTTTTGAAAATTTTCAAAAAATTTCAAGTTCCTATGCTGGAGCAGTTTTTGGTCTTCCAATAAGTGCATGGCTTGTTTCTTATACTCATTGGTCTGCTCCTTTTTATATTTATGGAATTGCTGGTGTTCTGTGGAGCATTTTTTGGTTTTCCCTGACATTTGAAAGGCCAGCATTTCACCCAACAATTTCTGCAAAGGAGAAGGAACATATAGAAACGAGTATTGGACAAGTATCACAAACACAGCCTACAGTTTGTTGCTTTTTAATTAAAAAATAGGGGGAAATTGGGACTAGAAAATGGCGTGTCTGAAATTGGGGGAGGGCCATGGGGAGAATTTTTTGAGGAGGCAGCACAAAGGGGAGCAGAAACTTTTAAGGATGGGGAACGAGCTTTCTAGACGATGATATTAGTGAGTAGCTAACCAAAATCGTCTCTTAAATAGAGGTTATCATTGTTGGGTGTTTCTGAGGATGAGGTTCATTTTTGCCAATTTTGTCCGCAAAAACTTGCGGACAATTCGCAAATTTTTTTAAAATTATTTTACACAAAATTAAAAAATTTCTAATTTAAATTTTTTTCTTAGTTGAGCACAATTCCTTGGCGTGCCATACTCACTTCCAGGGTAAAAAATAATTTTATAATAAAATAATTTTTTATTATTTATATTTTAAGCCTGTTTGGGCAATTATTGTTGCCAATTTCGCTCGAAGTTGGAATTTTTATTTGCTGCTCCAAAACCAATTGACATACATGAGGGATGTTTTAGGACTGAGGATTAGTGATGTTAGTTTAATTTTTATTTTTTAAAAATTTTCAAAAAATTTAAAAATCCGCAAATTTTTGTCCGCAAAAACTTGCGGACAATCCGCAAGTTTTTGTCCGCAAGTTTTTTTGAATTTTTAAAATTATTTTTTAGAGTGGATTCATTGCAGCCCTTCCACATGCTGTTATGGTATTTTTAAAATTATTTAAGAAAAATTTAAGTTCTCCTTTAAAGGGTTGTGTTGTACTACTTGGAGGAAGGATGGCGGATTATCTTCGTTCAAATAAAATACTCTCAACAACTGCTGTTCGCAAAATTTTTAATTGTGGAGGTAAGGAAATTTTTCTATATTTTTTTTGAAATTCCGTATTTTTTTGTCCGCTAAAAATTTGCGGACACATTTTTTGTCCGCAAAATACTTGTGGACAGATTTTTGTCCGCAAAAAACTTGCGGACAATTTTTTTCGAAAAATTAAAATCCGCAAATTTTTGTGCGCAAAATATTTGCGGACAGCAAAAAAGAAAAATAATTCTTTAATCATTAGGATTTGGCTGTGAAGCCCTCTTCCTACTCGTTGTTGCTTACACAAAAAGTGAACGTACAGCAATGACAGCCCTCATTTTTGCTGTAGGTTGTAGCGGATTTGCAATTTCTGGTTTTAATGTTAATCATTTGGATATTGCTCCTCGTTATGCTGCTATTTTAATGGTTTTTTAAAATTTTTAAAAATCTGCCATTTTTGTCCGCAAAATTTTTGCGGACAAAAATTTGCGGATTAAAAAAAAATTTTTAAATTCATTTTAAGGGATTTTCCAATGGAATTGGCACTTTAGCAGGATTAATATGCCCTTTTGTTGTTGAATCCTTAACTGCAAAAGGAAGCAATCCAAATGGTTGGACAACCGTTTTTCTTCTGGCTTCGATGATTCATTTTACCGGAATTACCTTTTATGGAGTTTATGCTTCTGGAGAATTACAGGTTTCTTTTTTGGGGATATTCCAAGGGCGCATATAGGGAGTGGGTTTCGGGAGAGGGGCGCTTTCGAGATTGGACCCTAATTTTTGTCCGCAAAAAAATTCGCAAATTTGTGTCCGCAAAAATTTTTAAAAATCCTTATGTTGATTTTCATTTCGAAAACCCTAGAAAAATACTAGAGCATATACGCCTTTGGTATATTCTAAAACTTTTATCTCATATTTTCACAGGAATGGGCAGAACCAAAGGACGAAGAGGATAAAGTTGTTTGGAGTGCTGAACAAGCTTCCGAAGCTCGAAGATTTGAGGAAGGTGGAAAAAGAAAGGGAAGTTATGGAGCTGTTGGAACTTCTATAAATATTGAACCTTTACCAAAAATTAGAAATTATAGTTTGGGACAGACAGGAGGAATTCAAATAGATTCAACAAATCCTTTTGGAGCAGATTGGGGAGATTCTCATAATTATTATCAACAAAATGGAGGAGGTAATTTTAATGAAAAGAGGGATTCGTTGAGATAAGTTTAGACGAAGATTATTGATCTCTAGATGTCCCGGTCTCTTTAACAAGGGCGTACCCAAAGGTCGGAATTTTTTAAGGGAACCAAAAGCATCCCAAGTGAGAGGAGGAGGCTATGTCAAAAATGTGGGGGGCTCTTTTAAAGGGAAGGAGGGGGCTATAACGAGTGGAGGGGGCTCTTGGATTATAAAAATAAGTTTTGGCCGCATAAATATAGGTTACAAAATTTTTTAGAATTCTTAAAGGGTGCGACCTTCCCTGGGTACGCCCCTTACTCATAATTTTCATTTTTGAAATTTTTTTAAAGGAATAATAATTAAATTCAAATTTAATTTTCGAGGTAGAATTCTTTCTCTTAAAAAAGAGCAAAAATAAAATTCTCAGAAAAAATATTTAAAAAATAACCGTCACATAATCCAAAAAAGAACTAACAATCATCAAAAGTCTCTCTAATCCTTCTATTTATTTCTGTTTTCAACTGCCAACGGCCTATAAGGATAGAGGGTAGAAATCAGTGCTTGTCTTCGAATTGCCAACTGTTTAAAATTTAAGTTTTAAAGAAAAATTCAATGGGATCCCAGAAGGTCAAAACTCATAAAGTCAACTTACTGGATTTGAGCGGATAAGATGGACTTGTTGGGATTGAGGAGCAGACGACGGAAAACTCGAGTGCAATTGTCGGATAGGGTAAAAGGGAGGATATGACCTTCAAAAAATATCTTTATCTCGAGTCCCCTTAACCCGCTGGAGTTGCCCTTTACGCCTTTACTCATAATTAGTTGACCTTCTGGGATGGATCCAAATTCAGTATTTTCTAAAAAAAACTGACCAACGACTTCTTTCCTTCCTTCAAAGAAAAATAAATTAATAAATTAAAAATATTGTTAATAACCTCGTACATCTCGGCCAATCTGCTTTCACTTAAATTCTCAGTCCTCGAGTGTTCAAAATAGTCACGGACACGACGACGGGCAAAATGTTTGTAGCTGTACTGGGGAAACTAAAAAAAACCATAGATTTACCCTCTCAAAAAATTAACAAAAAAACCTCTCTGCCAGCTCTCAATAATTCTTTATAAAGTTTAAGCCAGTCAGCTCGAACAGGAAGTGCTGCCATATTTCTTTAAAATAAATGAATTTCTGTTAAACACTAAGAAAAATATTTTAAAGACGTGAAAAAAATTTGAAAAATATTTTTTAGTTAAATTTAAAACAAAGGTTTGAAAATTAATATAAAATTCACATCCATATTTATCAAATAAATTAAAAAATAAATTAAAAATAAGTTAAAAAAATACACATTTAAATTGACTCAAATCGAGCTTCCAAAATGTTTAGGAAACGAAATCGATCCAATGCCCGTATCATCACAACTAAAAAATAGGTGGAAATAAAATGGTAGATGAGGAAATTGGGAGTCTAAACGAGATGGGACAAAGTAAAATATTATTAATAATAGATGAGATCAAGCCTCGAGTCCGATCTCTAAGCTTAAACAAACCAAACCTTAGGAAAAACTCTGACATGAAAGGGGAAAACGGAAACCTCAAATCAGAATTAAAAAAATAATCCAGATATTTAGAAGAACTCTGATAGGGAAGATAATACACCCTAACTGTCCCATTACTTTAAAAACAAAAAAAATTACAAACCATTTGAATCAAAAGTATGTCGAATTTCTATATTTGCTTCTCTTGCGACGTGTTTAAATGCACTTCCAATTACACTTAAAAATTAAATTTTAATGAAAATAAAATTCAAAAAAAAACCTTTTTCCACTTGTATCAGCCATTATTTCGACTAAAGGCATTAACTAAAAAATTTTAGAAAAAATTTCAATTTTAAAAGGTAACCAACCCCGGATATCAAATACCAGCCTGAATGTTCACCCAACAAGGGAAAAATAAGAATGAAAGGTTTGGTTCCACGTGAGGTTGGATTCTTTAAAAAATAATTTTCTTCAGAATTAAAAAAATTTTTTTGAAAATTTTCAGAAAAACTTCAAAATTTTTCGAAATTTTAAAAAATTCCCAAAAACCCCAGAATTTCAAAAATTTCAAAAATTTTCGAAATTAAAAAAAAAATTTTTTAATCAGAAAAAAAAACCGTAGACACATAAGCACGCAATACTGAATGGAAAAATAAAAAGAGAAAATGCCTTGAAGAGAGGAGACCGAGCATTGAACACTTTAAAAATTCCAAATAATTTTTCAAAAAAAATCAAAAATCAACCTGATCAGAAAGCGAAAGCAGGAAAAATCTTGACATTAAAACAACATGTTTTTGAGCTATTGACCTCTTAACCAATTCATTTAAACTTTTCAAAGCCATTTTGTAAAGCTCTACGGAATGTTTTAGAGGGGGTAATTCACGTCCTCCCGTCTTGAAAAATTCTCTCAAAATCTCGTTTGTTGACTCAAAACGTCTACTTAGTTCACTGTCAGGCTGTAAATAAAATTTTTAATTAGAAAATTTTTGAAAAAATTTTTTTTTTAAATTTCAAAAATTTTTGAAAAAATTTTTCAAAAAATTTCTAAAAATTTCAAAAAAATTTTTCAGAATTTCCAAAATAAATTCTTGAAAAAATTTTTCCAAGAAATTTTTCAAAAACTTCTTTAAAAATTCTTGAAAAATTTTCTCAAAATTTCAACAGAATTTCAAAAAAAATTTTTCTTTCCAAACCTTGTCCGACTGATTCCACTCCAATCTAATTGTTAAAATTCTAGCAAAATCAACAGCATTATAAGTCGAATTAAATCCAAAATTAGTATTGAATGAAGCAAATGTTTTATTTAAATATTCCTTTATTAATTTAAAAATTTCCAAACGGCGATCTTTTTTGATTACTTCAAAATTTTGGCGGCATTCAGCGAGGGTTAAACTAAAAAAATTTTTTTTGAAAAATTAAAAAAAAATTTCCAACCCAATCTTTGCAAGAATTTCTTTAAATTTATCCTCTCCTCGTTGAGACCAAAGTTTGCTTTCACAAATAAAATGAGATTCATTTAGCATACTTTCATAAAGTGTCCAACGAGAATATAGAGGCAAAATTAGACTAAAAATGAAGAAAATATTAAAATTAGACTAGTTAAACACTATTTCACAAAGAAAATTTACAGGAGACGATAACACATAATTTTGGTAATTTTGGTTAATTTGGTTAAGTTGGATATCTTTCATTTCATGGGGAGTGAGGTCTAAGGTTCGAACCCGCTTAGAGTAGAATTTATTCTACACAGTCGTGGTATAGTGGTTAACCCAATTAATTGACAATCCGATCTTCAAACTATTCCAAAGCTAGGTAAATTTTGGTTAAGTTGGTTAGGTCTTTTCTTTCATGGTGGGTGAGGTCATGGTGTTCGAACCCGCTCAGGGTAAAATTTTTTTTTGGGTAAGTAGTTAACGCCCACGTATCGGAAGACCCATGTTCAATGCCTAGAGGCACCCATAAATTAATTTAAAAACAAAACTCTTCTTTAAAGCTGACAGTCAAGTGATTTCTATTTTGGTCAGTCAAAGCACCCGATCTTGGTCCAAATTTTAAAATAAATGGTTTCATTCGATCTGCACAAATCTTAAATTAAATTTAATAAAAATAAAGAAAAACTTTAGAAAATACATCAGTATATTTTTCCACGCAAATAATTTGATCAATAAATTGACTGCTAATTCCAACAGCAGAACACCACATTATTTCTGCAGAAGATTTGCCTAGTTCATGAGCTAATTCTAACATAAATACTGATATCTAATTTTAAAAAATGTGGAAAATTTTTGGTAAGAGAAATACCGGTGGAGCATACCAAGACTAGAAAAAAATAAAAAAAAATTAAAAAGGAAGTTAAAAAAGTGGCAAAAGGAAAAAAATCATAATCGAAAAGAACACCCCCGTTAAAGCATAAAAATTCTAGAAGCTCAAAAATCCTTTATATTTGTTTATTTTATAAATGTGAATAGTTAAAAAGCAAAAATAATTCGGTTATCGACAAAGGGAGTCGAACCTGAGACCCCCCTAATATGTTACACAACTCACCAGACCGGACGGGTACCCCCAGTAACCCACTGAACCAAAAAGTGTTTTCCAGCTTAAAATAGGATTGATCTTCTGGATTCTCAATCACCTAAATCCCTCAAAAAATCTAAAAAAACCTTCAAATAATATTCCCACAAAATCGTCCCCCTTGCCCGTTTCCATTGGGTTCGCCGTTGTCTTTTTAGTGTTCTACTAGCGATTATATCAGCCAGTTGTTTGCGTTTTCCACGTCTTTTAATTATTGACGAATTTCTTTCATCTTGATGACTTTGTTGGTCATTCTCATCTAAAAGTTCCTCGACTCCTCCATTTTCCTTAAAAAATAATTTAATAAAAAATAAATTGCCGTAAATATCCCAATAGTGGCTCCTCTTTAATAAAAGCCCTTGCCCTATTAGAAGCCTACCCAATCGGACACACGAAAGAATAAACGTCCAAGGCCTCTATTAAAATAAATCAGGCACATTGGCAAAGTCAGCAAAATTTGCAAGTCAATTTTGTTACTTGCTGATTGTCCGCAAGTTTTATCCGCAAGTCAAGAAATGTCCGCAAATCAATTATTGTGCCGTACGGACAAAAAGCTGCAGACTTTACCAGTATAACCTAAAGTTTCTAATAAAAACACTCTCTGATAGAAGCCCATGCCTAATGAAAAATAAACGACCGAGGCTTTTAAACAACATTAACTGAAATTTAATGAAAAAAACCTCTCCTTCCTCTCCATCACTGAACAAATTTTCTCCTTCCTCCTCTTCATCTTCCCCACTTTCACTTCCAGATTGTTCTTCCTGTTCATAAATAGAATTAGCATCAGGGACATTCCATTCAGGCAATTCTGAACTTTCTGTCAAAACTTTTATAGAATCAACATTGAAAATATTGTCTAAATGAATTGGCCTTCTTGATTCTATTATCCAGAAATTTACCTAAAAAATTAATTTTTTTTGGGGAAGGTAAGAGGGTTTATAGGAGATCAGGGATGGGTAAAATTTCGTTTTGTTCAAATTTTGTTTCGAAACAAAATAAAAAATTTCGTATAGAATTTTTACAAAATTTCGGAATAAAAAACACGAAATTTCGCCTCAGTCCGAAACAAAATAAAAATTTTTTGATTCCGCATCGTCCTGCTAAAAACCAAACTCAAAGATCGCCCGAAAACCCTTGACTTAAAAAATAAACTGGCGTCCTCATTTAATTAGCCTGGCGAGGCGCCTAACCCCCCCCCCCTGACCTAATAAAATTTAAAAAAAATTAAAAAATACATTCGAAGGAAGTTCAAAACCAAGCAGAGAATTTGACCCAACACAATTCATCAAAATAATATTTTTTGTCTGTTTACCATGTATTTTAATTGTAGATTTCAATCCTTCTATTGAATTAACCGGAATAAGTGTATAAGTTACTTCGTCACAAGAAAATAAATGCTAAAATTAGGAAAATAAAATTTTTTAGAAGAATTAGAGGGGTTTTTTAGTCCCGAAAAAGTCCGCAAGTTGAAGAATTAAATTAGACGCTGGTTTAGATTATGAGTCCTATTGAGGGTTTATGAGACCCAATGAAAGTTTTGAGTCCAATAAAGGTTTATGAGTTCCATGAAAGTCTATTAGACCCATATGCGGTTGGGAATCACAAGAAGGGCTTACAAGCCCAAAGAAGAACTCGTGTCGGTCCTATGGTCAAATGGGGAGTTGATGAGCCCAAGAAGGGTTGTATAAGTCCATTGAGGGTTTATGTGAGTCAAAGAACCCATGAAGGTTCATACGACTCATAAATTTGACTAGAGCCTTAATTTCTCGAAACCCTTTCCTTTCCCTGTACGATTTTGACTGACTCCTAATTTTTGGACAAAACTTGCGGACTTTTCTGTGAACCAGACCCAAAATTTTTTTTAAAAACCTCCTTACAGTCAAAATAGCAGTTGCACACAGGGCATCAACATCAGCATTTACAATAATCAGAATATGCTTAAAATATAAAAAAATAAGTTGAAATAAAAAAAGAAAACCTCACATCCTTTCTAAGCTCTTCATAAAATTGAAGTCGAAAATCGTTGCTAATAATCATTATAAAATTATGAAAGCATTTTTTAGAAAAATTTTTTTAAGCTCTAAAAATCTGAAAAATTTAAAATACAAAACCAAATTAGAAAATTTTAAAAAATTTCATCCCCCTCACCTTAAACACCCGCCTCAAAAAATTTTTTTAGAAAAATTTTTCAAGCCCACCAAAAAAATTTTCCAAAAATTCAACACACATACATCCTCCCACAAAAATTGTTTTGGAAAATTTTTCAAACCCCCTCTCTTTCAAAAATTTTCTGGAAAAAGTTTTTCCAACCCCCACACACTGCAAAAAAATTTTTTCCAATCCATCCCCTCTCCAAAAATTAACCCCCCCCCCGTCTATTTTTTCTAAAAATCTTGTCCATGTCATTAAACCCCCCCCCCCCCCCATTTCTTTCCACAATTTATTAGCAAATCGTTCTCTCCCCCAAAAAACAACAGCTGTTATATAAAACCGATTTTCTTACTAAAAATAAATCAAAGATTTAAGCAAGAGTTCGGAAAGGGGGAAATGGACAGGCGCTATATTAACCAAAAATATTGCCTTTAAAACTTCCCATTTATTTCCTCTGGTCAACTGAAAAATAAATATAAAATCATCCTTCTCCCCTCCCCTTCCTTTCATTTTTACTTTAAACTTTTCTTGGATCAAAAAATTTTTTTTAGTTTAGAACGATTTTGCTAAAATGGTCATTTTATTTATTTCCTAGAATCTTTCCCAAGAAAATTTTTTGACCTTAAAAATATCCCCATACCTCTAATTGAACACCCAAGAATTCTATTTATTAATCACTTCCAAGGGGCATTTTATTAGAGAGGGAGGGGTATATTATTAGAGAGAGGGGGCATATTAGAGAGGGAGGCATTCTATTAGAGAGGGGGATATTCTATTAGAAAGGAGGCTTTCTATTAGAGGGGGAGTCTATTAGAGGGAGAGCATTAAATGGAGAGGGCTTTCTATTAGAGAGGGGTATTCTATATTAGAGGGGGCGGCATTCAAATAGGAGGGGGACCCTATTATAGAGAGGATGGAGGGGGCATTCTATTTTCAATTCCCATCCAAAGGGGCACTTTATAACAGGTACCACGGCATTTTTCATTTTACAAAACACCAAAAATCCAAGAAAACGCAATTCTCGTCTAGCCGACTCTGTTGGTTGTAGGTGTTTTTAAAAAAATAATCATCACAACCCCCTAGAGTTCGCTAGGTGGAAAATGCGGTAAAAAATCTAAAAATAAATTTAAACAAAAATTAATTTTTAAAAAATATTTTAAAAGAAAATCCTTCAAGTAAGGCAACTTTTAAAAATTTAAAATTAAAAAAATTTTTTGAATAAATTTTATTAAAATATTAAAGTTGAAAAATCAAAAAAAAAACCAAAAATAAATACATACATCCAATTCACATTGATTCAGAAAAAATTTTTTTTGACTCATCCAAGTTGAAATACACTGAAAAATTTGTTTTTAAAATATTAGAAAAATGTATGGATTTTAATATATAGAGTAAGTATTAAGCTAAAGGGGTGTAGCCAGTGGGTCGATTTCAGGGGTCGAAAATGGTGTGCGCGCAAAATTTTAGTGGTATCAAGGGCGTAGCCGGGAAGCTTCTGAAGCTAACCTTCTCCCGTTTTTAAAATAAGTTCCCGGAGGGACACAAAAAAAGATATAAAAAAACTTCTCCAAAGCTAGTCTACCATAAGAATTCCTCAAGAACTCCCCCCCCCCCCTCATCTCCCAAAATTAGAATGAAAAAAGGCAAACCCTGGCTCATTTTTATCTTCATCCTCTGTAAGGCTCGCCTGGCCTTTATCCGCTTCTCTACTTCGCATACCACTAAAATCAATTGCGCCGGTTGTTGCTGAACTTGCATTTTTATAATCAATTCTATCAAATGTTTGCGAATCGCTGTCAAAAACTCCAGCATCTGAAAAATCTACAGCAGCATTTGAATCTTCTTCATCAATATCTCGCAATGCTCGAAGGTCTAAAAATTGAATAAATTAGAAAAATAAAATCTCTTTGCGGAAATTTTAAAAGGACTCATAATGGTCAGAGCTCTGATTGTCTCGCAAATTAAGACTCCATAGTGACCAACACCAAAATGGCCTCATAATAGTCAATTTTATAAAGCCGCATAATGATCAAAGCTCATAATGGTTTCAAAACGGTCAAAGCTCTTAATGGTCTCATAAGGGTCAGAGCATACTTACCCTCTCTCTATTCATTAAAAAAGTAATGTTTTAAAGAAGTGATAATTGCTATGGGGAAATATTGGGAACTGTACTGATTTCCTTTCTATAACTGACCATTATGAGTCCGCATAAATACATCCGCAAAAACTATTTCGGGAATTGAGTTTGGAATAACCCACAAATCCAAAAAAATTTTCTTACTTGTTTCTTCATTCGAATTATTCTCAATAGACATTGCACTTTGCATAGTTTCATCATTATTTTCGCATTCCCCGTTGGGTATTTTTGGAGCGACTATTTTTGGGGCTACTACACTGCTTGAGGAAACTGAAAAAATATAACTAGAAAAAATAAATTTAAAGAAAATCCTTGTCCAAAAAATAAACCTGGAACCCATTTGTATATACTAATGCTGCTGTCTTTAAGAAGTACCCATCTCTTCTCCCTTTAATTTATTTAAATTTTTAAGGTGAAATTCGGTCGGACCTTATTACAAGAATAACAAATAGGTGGGGAAATGGGTGGGGAAGCTGTCTAACCGATACCCTCAGGCTAACAACTCATATATATAATGACCAAAGCTTGGCCTTAAGGTCACCCAGTCCGGTCTTGAGTCTTAAGGTCCAGCACCGAGCTCAAAATCTTGATAGTAGGACAAAGTCTTGGTTTCGACCCAAGGGGGCATAACGAGGTCCGACCGCATTTAAAAACACAAACCATTTTCGCACAAAACATTTATCAGTAGAATAAATAACTCTTCTCAATTCATCCTTTGCTTTGTTTCTTGTTTCGGCACGATTATTACGAGGTGTGACTTTTGAAAGAGAAGAAATGCGACTGTAAAAAACAAAGATTAACTAGAAAAAGAGAAAAGGAGAACCTTGTTTGCATCTTGAGGTTTGAGCTTGAGTTAGAAATAATTCAAAAGATCGCAAAATGGAGAATTTAAGCTTTGTACATTTTGCATTTTGGTGTTATAAATTTTACCTCTTTGAAAATATTCCAAAATAATTGGCATTCTGTTTTATTTTTAATTTTGTTTCTTTCTTTAGCCACTCTCTTCATTTTACGTGCTGCCTTATTCTTCTACAAAAAATTTTTTTGTGATACTATTTTTGCCAATACATATTTTGCCAATAAGGCTAAAAACTCGTGTTTTGTCAATAGGACTGCGTTGACAAAATGTCAATTTTTACTCTTATTGGCAAAATATGGTTTGGCATAATATGATTTGTATTTTTAGAATTTTTTTTGATTTTTTTGAAATTTTGGACCTCATAATAGAAATTTTTTTTATAAATGTCATCATTCACATCAGAAGTATATTTTTTATTTGTTTTCTAAACTTATTTATTTAAAGGTACTTCATTGGAAACCAACAAAATTGGAGGAGGAATGTGATTCTACAGATATTTTGGAGCTTGATGCTATAGCTAGAGATATTCGTGCTGAGCTCTGTATCGCCAAAGAAGAGGAAGAAAGGTTGACTGAATGCATTGTTGATGGTTTGAAGAAGACGGAAAGGACTCTAGGTTTATTTTTTAATTTTAAACGAGGTTGTCGTTGAGGCCGAAGAATCGGGATTTTTTTGGTTCGTTCTGGATATACGAAACTTCGGTTTTTTTCCGAAGATTTTCTAAGAACCGACAGCCTTACTTTAAAGGCTCCTTATGTTTCCTTTGTGTTTAGGTACCTCCAACTTTCAACGTTTTTTCGATCAATGCGCAGCACGTGTCAATGCTGAATTTGAACGTTCAGAGGCCGATGCCCGTCAATTATCAAATTCATTGGATGCACTTTCCGGTCTTGCCCAAAATATTTCAAAGCGTGTAGCAGCATTGGATCTGGGAAAGAGTCGAGTTGTTGAGTGTTTGCAACATGTTAGTGATTTACGGGATTTGGGGACCTGTGCAAACGGTGTACAACAGGCAATTAGGGATGGTAATTTTGAGGAGGCAGCCAGCCATATTCATCGATTTTTGACGCTGGATTCGATTGTTTTCAAAATGAGCGATAGTCAGGATGTTAAAGGTTGGTGGCTTTGATTAACATAAGTAAGAAATTTTTGGTTCTGTCAAAGCTCACAAGGCAAATCAAAATATTTGGGCGAATAAAAAGGATCGAGTTCACACTTAATCCTAACAGATCCATCTTAACCCGTTCAAATCCATCGATTTCCCTCTTAATGCTCACAAATCCGACTTAATCTATACATACATATCTTTCATCCTCCTAACTATTTAATTTGATTTTTTGGGGATTGACCTTTAGAGTCGTTTGTTCTTCTGATCTCGACCTTCTGTGTTGATTCAATTTTTGATAATAAAATTTTTGTAGATGCCGGATATTCTGTCAAAAATTGTTATGATATATTAAGACAAGCGTCGATTGAGCTTAAACAACAGATTGAACAAAAATTTGACGAAGCTAAAGCAAAGGGGGATGTTGCGACAATGGAGCGTTTATTTAAACTTTTCCCGTTAATAAATGAGCATCAAAGCGGATTAAAACGATATGGATCGCATATTTGTGATAAAATTGCTGAACTTTCTCAACAGAATTATAAAATTATGCAGGTTAATTTTTTATTTTTTTTGGTATTTTTGAGCTTCGCAAACCAGTTTTTGCGGACATATTTTTGCGGACTTGGATAGTCTTATAATTTTCATTGTCGGCTGTAAAGGACTCATAATGGTCAGATTTCACTTTTTTGAATTCAATGAATAGAGGAATGGAATTTTGGATATGCTGACCATTATGAGACCATCACGATTATAGATCGATTTGGAAGTTACTAGACACTAGTGATCTGTCCCATCTCCGAACAGATCGAAGATCGGTTCAGTCGACATCTCGAAAAATCTCGATTCTCAATAACCGAGATTTTCCGACGAAATCTCTCTCGTCCGATCTTTGTTTATCACTATCAGTCCACATAAATATGTCCGCAAAAACTGCTTTGTGATAACCTAAAAGTACCACATTTTTATTCCTTAAATTATTTTTTAGGCCGGTGGAACAGACGATAATCGAAAAAATGTCCTTTTTGCTGATACTTTAACTATGCTTTTTGAAGGTATCGCTAGATTGGTTGAATTGAGTCAGCCTGTTATTATAAGTGCTTATGGACAGGATAAAATGTTGGATTTAATTGAAATAATCCAGCCACAATGTGACAAGCAGACAAGTCTAATTTTGGATGCTTTTTTACAGAAACGACACTTTCAAGAATTGGCTAATCAAGTAATTTTTTTAAATTTATATTCATAAATTGGGAACGCTCCGAAATCTCAAACGCTGGAATATTTTATTTGGTGTCACCCAAAAAATCTAGTAGGACTAGCTCCGTAGCCATAAAATACCAAACTTTGAAACGCCGCCGAAATACCAAAGTTGGGGAAATGAATCAACCACAAATTCTGGTGTTCTTTCCACATGTTGGAGTGTTTCAGAGTTTATATTTCAGTGATCGGCATCATACTAGTTTCAATTTTTTCTTTTAGGTACGCGTATTACTCAACACAGATGGGTTTTCGCAGACTGGTTATTTTTATTCTTTTTTGTTTTTCTTATTTTTGATTTTATTTTCAGAACGAATTAACCCAATAGAACTTGACTTGCTCCTTTCTGAAGTTACTTTAATGCATACCCGTGCCGAACTTTTTTGGAGATTTCTTAAGCGTCGATTGAATCGGTCTGTTGATTTGGAAAGGAAAAAGAAGGTCGGTGAAGGGAATGAGTTGAATGAAGTTTCGGGGAAGAATGACTTGGATGACCCTTTAATTGATGAACAACGAGATTTTGAAAGTGAAGAACAACGGGAAGAATACACTGCAAAAATGAAGAAGCAACGTGAAGAAAGAGATCGGAAATTGGATTTGGTTTTGAATCGATCTGGTTTGAACACGAGAATGCAGGTTGATTAAAACATTTTTTGGGGTGTTATTAAGGGGCCCATCCCAGAAGGTCAACACCCTAATAGTCAAATGGTTCTAGAATTCTTGTGGTCTGGTGGTCGACGTTAAAATGGTCAACGTCTTATTGTTAGTTCAAAAAATGACCCTAGAAGTCAGCCTCAAATACTTGGGCGGGTGAAATATGATTTGGACGGATTAAATGGGATTAAGGGACAGTGAAATTTTCCCGTGTCTGTTATTTTAAATTTTTTAAAAATATTTTAGGAACTGTTGGGTAATTATGTGCTAATGGAGCAATATTATATGACCAACTCTGTTCAAAAAGCAATTTCTATGGATACAGTCGAGGATGGGGCTTTGACTAGGTTTGACTTTTTGACTTTAACTTGATTTTTGACTTTGACTTTTGACTTTTTCAAATTGTCTCTTTCAAGTTCACTTTTGGATGATGTTTTCTTCATTGTGCGTAAATGTATTCGTCGTTCCATCAGTTCTTCCTCTATTGACTGTATTTGTGCTATGCTTAACAATGGAGTGACTTTACTCGAAACAGAATTTTTCAAGTGCATTAGTGCTCCAATTAAGGTTCTTTGACTTTTTTGAAATATTTTCAATTCTCTAATATAGTCAGGATATCCAAGCAGTGGATGGACAACAGAAGCATATCAAACTGCTCAAAGTGCTTACACCGCCGTTCTGCAGCAAAGCAAGGTTGTTACTGACACTTCTGTCAACAGCATAGAGAAGCAACGAAACTCATTTTTGATTGGAATTAATAATATGCGTAGTTCAGTTGAATGTATTTGTACATTAAAATTGGGATTAGCTGAGGATTTTGAAAAATATTTGAGCCAGGTTTTTAAATCTTTAGAGATCGGAAATTAAAAAAACCTCGACCTTGATTCTTCGAACTTATCTACTTTAACTGCTAGATATTTAGACCACCTAATCTAACAACACCCCAATTTATTCGAAAGCTCAAAATGGTCAAAGTGAATCGGTGAGACGTGCCCAAAAATTTCTGCGGCACGCATCTCGAGGCGAATAAATATTGGTTAGTTGGTTGGGGACCATGACAAGATTCTTCTCCAAGGGTCAAATAAAATTCTGGGTTTGGATCCGGATCTAAGGGCGATCTCTATTAAATTTAATTTGTCTTAATTATATTCTTAATTTTACCAGATTACCCCTCTAGAAAGTAAAAAACTCGAAAATGCTGTTAGTCAATTAGATGATTTTACAAAACGTTTAGAGCAACATGCTAATCTTGGAATTGTTAAGCTTTGTGATGCTGCAATTAGGACTAAACTTAAATCGAGGTTTCTTATTTATTTTTGGATGTGGTGGCAAAAACGGCTTCCAAAACTTGGTTCAAACAAAGCTCGGGGAGGCAAAAGTTTTACCAAAATCCAGTCCAGACTTGCATTGGAATAACATCACCCGGTTTTTGGTAACAACTTTTCATTTCATCCTAACATAAGTTGTTTTTATATAGCCTTCTCCGTAGCTTGGAACAACTTTCCCCGTTGTAACATCGCGCCAATAAGACCCCTAACCCGCTTGGACTGAGTTTTGTTAAGCAAGACCGAAGCCTTTTTTGAGCCGGGTTTTGCCCTGGCACTCCTTTTAGTTTTTCATTTTATTCTTTTTCTAGTGCTGACGAATTTCTTGAACTTCCTCATATTTTGTCGGATGAAGAATTGGCCGATTTTGAAATGAATGATCCTTTTATGAGCAATTTTATTTTACAATTGGACAAGCAATTGGTGCGCTTTGAGACGCTTTTAGTTCAAGAAAATTATAAGGTTTTTTGGAATTTTTTCTGAAATTTTTTTTTAATTTTTCTTTAAAGATGTTGGTGTCTTGTTGCGCTGGTGAAGTAGCACAACAATTAGAAAGAGTAATATTTAAATGTTCTTTTAATCGACTTGGTGCTCTCTTGCTTGATAAAGAATTTAGAGAATTGTCGTCTTATTTAAGCTCTATAGCAAGTTGGAATATACGTGAAAAATATAGTCGGCTTTCTAATGTAAGGAAGGAGGTTTTTTTTTGTGGATTTTTGAAAATTTTTGAATTTTTTTCGAAAAATTTTTTTGATTTCGAAAATTTCTAAAAAAAAATTTTTTCGAAAATTTTTAAAAATTAAAAAAATTTTTTTGAATTTTTTTTGTAATTTTTAAAAAAATTTAAATAAAATTTTTTGAAAATTTTTGAAAAAAAAAGATTTTTTGGGTAAATTCTTTTTCCGAAAAATTTTCAAAAATATTTTTTGAATTTTTTTTTGAAATTTAAAAAAAAAACAATTTTAGATTGTTACTTTATTAAATTGTGAAAGTTTGGATGAAGCAATACAATTATTAGAGCAAATAAATAATTCTCTTCTTTCAACAGCAATATTGTCACAAAATGATATTAGACGGACATTGAGTCTTCGAGAAGAATTTTCACGAGATCAAATTAATGCAAAGGTTAAGTCTTTGAAAATTTAATTGGACACAAGTTTTGTTATAAGTTTATTTTTAAGGAATGTCACGGGATTACACGGAATCCAAAACCCAGCTCGACTCTTGACTTGCTCCAACTTAATCCCCAAACTGCCCCGAAATTCGACTCGTGCCTCGGACTTTTTTTGGACTCGAAGCATGCTCCGACTTTTTCCCTCCCTACCCAGAGATCCGACTTTTCCCCCCAATCTGGCGGAACGTTTTATAATACCAAAAGCTTGTAATACCAAACCCCCAAAAGCTGTTGAAATACCAAAGTGACCAAAAAAGCTTGAAATACCAAACCCCCAAAAGATGTTGAAATACCAAACCGTGGAAAAAAGCTTGTAATACCAAATACCCAAAAGCTGTTGAAATACCAAACCGTGAAAAAATTTTTTTATAAAACTCCTCTTTGTGTATAATATAATCCTCCTCCAAAATCCTTCATAATACAAAGTGTGGAAACCATTTTGTATTATTATCACAAGGTTTTCGCGGAAAAAAGTTTTTGCCGCTGCGGAGGAAGCCGGGCATGTCGAGCGGAACGACGGCCGCCGCTTCGCTACGGTCGCCGCGAGCGAAGCGAGCACGACCGCAGCGAAGCACGGCCATCGTGTAGCGAAGACCATGCCCGGCCTACCCTCCGTAGCAGCACAAAAACAGTTTTTCCAGCGAAGATTCAGTTGGTCATAACTTTGTTCATAATCATCTAATCGAGCTGATTTTGGTGTTATTCAACTCAGCTCGCCGAGCCCTTTCAAATGAGCTATTATTTGTATATTCGAATTTTTTACTCCAAAAATCAGCTTGTCACAAGAACAGTTTTTCCAGCGAAGACTAAAAGCCAACAGGCTAAAACCAACAAGTTATTCTGCCAGGAGATAAATAACAAAAAATTCCACAGTTTTAGTAACAAATTGAATAATAATAGTTTTGGTATTTATTTGGTATTACAAGCTATTTTCCACGGTTTGGTATTTCAACATCTTTTGGGGGTTTGGTATTTCAAGCTATTGGTATTACAAATTTTGGTATTTCAAGCTTTTGGTATTACAAGCTTTGGTATTACAAGCTTTTGGTATTATAACATCATACCCCAATCTGGCTGCCCCTCATAAATTACCGAGACCAGACTTTCTCCTTTTAAACCCCCTTACTGGCCTGAAACCCGATCCTAAGCCCGGACTATTTTTTTCGTCCCGAAACCTCAAGCTAATTTGATTAAAATTTTCAACCCACGACTTGTTCTTTTTTCTTTGCCCGTGACATACTTGATAGTTATTCTATTTGCATAATATTTAAAAAAAATGATTTTGGCTGTGATAAAAAATTTAATGGGAACAATTTGTTGACTTTTTTCACATTTTTCAGTTTTTTAAACTCTTATATTGTTTAATTTTTGAATTCTTATCTTGTTATTTAGAGATTATCTTTTCTTTATTTTTGCCTATTTTTACTTATTTTTAATTATTTTGCGCAACAATGAATTATGATGATGCAGCACAGCAACATCAACAACAATTTTATATGCAACAAAGGATGAGATCACAACAACAACATCAACGAATGGTTTATTTTAATTTTTTTTTTATTTTTTACTTTGAGTTTTAGCCACTTTCAATGGCTGCAAATCAGCCAGGAGGCCAACAACAACCGCAACATCCCCAACAACAAATTAGACAATCTTTTAATATGGTTCATCAACCGCAACATGTAATGGTTCGAATGCAGGGTATGGGAGGTGATGATCCTAATGGACAACAACAGCATTATCAGCATTTTAATTATAGGTTTTTTTGAATTATTTCAGATAAGACTTGGAAATTGGGTTCCGTCATCTGAACCCCCGCCAATTTTTTGACAAAAACCAGTGCGAACCCTGGCATGCCCACCCCGGCTAAATTATCAAGCAAAATCTAAAACAAAATCTCTAAAACCAAGACCCATAGGATTTTTGGAGACTTCTCGATTCGAACCCCGACATCGCCCCGAGGAGGCCCTTTGCCTGACACTCCCGATCACCGACATTCTATACTTAAAACTTTGTTTTTTAGAGATTTGTTCCATAATCTCCCACCAAGTATGCAGAACCAGATTATGAGTGAAACTAATCAAGAACGTAAAAAACTATTACTTCACGAAGCGGTTAAACAACAGGTTCTTTTACTTTAATTTTAATTTAAAAATTAATTATTTGGTTTAGCAACATTTATTTGAACAACAAATGCAACAACAAGGAGGAATGGGAGTGCGAATGCCTATGAGTTTGTTTTTTAATTGTTTACATTTTTTTGAAACTTAATCACTTTCTGGTATTGTGGGTTATAACAAAATAGTTTTTGCCGACATGATTATTCGGGCTCATAATGGTCGATATCATTTTATCGAATCATCGAAGAAGTATGGATGCTATGACCATTATGAGACCATTATGATTATGAGTCCGCATAAAATGCCGCAAAAACTGTTTGTTATAATCCACAAGTACCATAATTTCTGTTTAGATGTTGTTCAATCTCAACGCTTGCCAATTACGCAAGCAGGAGGAGCGGTTTATTCTGGTCAACAAGTTGTGATGCAACAACCAGGGCACATTCAGTTTATTTTATTTCTTTAAATTATTTTTTGATTTTTCTAAAATTCAAGACGAATAGCTAGCCAAGGATCTTTTGGTCAATCACCAGGACAACCTTCACAAATGTATATGCCTACAACAATGGGGGGACAAACAGTTCGTGGGGGTGCTGCTATGCATCCAATGCCTATTAATCAGCCTTATTTACAGCAACAATTTCAACATCAATCTCAGGTTTTTTGACGATATTTTATGGATATCCCTCCCTCCCTTCTCTTTGTTTGAGTCCCAAAATTTCTTGTCATTTCCTCAACCAAAAAATGGGGTGAAGGTCTAACCATCATGTACGTCTTAAAAAGGAGCAAATAATTTTGGGACCTAACTTTGGAGGAGAGGTGATGTCCATAAAATACCTTTCTGCTTTTTTAACATTTTCTTTTGTTTCCAGCAACAATCAGCAGCCCATCAAATGCAAAGAGGACAACATATTCCTGTAGCTCCAGTAATTTCTTCACAACAACACAATCAAATAACTCCTTCCAATTCGGTTGAATCAAATGTTGGAGGATTTGGAATTCAAAGCGGGAAGACTTCTCAGCAGCTTATTCAACATCTTGATCCTGGGAGTCATCCATCCATAAAATCAGAAGATCAATCTCCAAATCCTGTAGTAGTCGATAATTTGACTGGAGCTCGTTTACGTATATTTTTTTTAATGAGATAAACCCAGAAGGTCAACTCACTACCAAAAGGTAAGCTCTCTGTTGATCAAACTACCTTAATGGTCAACTCCGAATATTTTGGACCTGTGGGTATTATGGGGGATATAGATGGATTTGGAGGGGGTTAAGATTAATTTGCTTGGATGAGAGTTAATCATTCGTGGCAGACCTTCTGAGATGGATGCCCATTTTCATTTATTTTTATTAAAATTTCCTTTTTTAGAAAACACTCTTGATCATCAGCTGCCGCGTTCAGCAGGAACCCCACTTTCCGTAAATTCCCAACAACAACAAACTGAAGCTGAACATCCTGAATATAAAAGACTTTTATCTGAATTGTGTAAACACAAAAAAGATGTAAAGCGTTTATTAGAACGTTTAAATATTGATAAACCTGGAGAGATGAAGCTAAAATCTTCTTTAACCAATGTAATTCAGGTGATGGAAGGAACACGAAAAGGAGGGTAATTAAAGAAATTTTTTAATATTTGTTCCTGCATGTCCGCAAATGTTTGCCCGCAATTACACTTCAAAATCCCTCGATTTGCCTTAATCCCCCCAAATCTCTTGATATCCCCCTTAATCTTTTTTAATCTCAATAAACTATTAGGGTTTAACTTAGGCATAGTTTTCCTCTGGACATAGTTTTGCGAGCTCTTCTTCACTATATTTGACAGAAGGAAGAGCAAGGAAAAGTTAAAAATTGCGGATAAACATTTGCGGACATGCGAGATACAGTCCAAAATCTTTTCTCAAAAATATTTTTACAACAATTTTCAGCCCGGTAACTCGAGATTTATTAAAGAAGCTTCTTGCAAATGTACAAACAGTAAAAGAACAATACGATATTGCTCGACATTTTTTGGTTGCAGCAAGAAAATTGAAAGCTGCGCAAGCAGGTGGACGTGAAATGCCAAAAGAACCTTTATTTTTGGATCCTTGGAAGGATGTCAGACATTTACAGATAAAAATTCCTGAAGAAGTTTTGGCAAAAAAGAAGAAAAGTGAAGCGCCAAAGAAGAGAGGAATTGATGTTAAAAAAGAAGATGTTGGTGAGGTTCCAGTAAAGCGTGGATTGCTTGAATCTATGGCAGAATGTATTTTTTAATAATTTAAAGGTACTAGTGCCGTTTCGCCATGCACACACTCAGCTGTCGTGGCGAAGATGCGGTCGCACTGAAAAAAATCTGTCCGCACTTTTTTCTGAAAATTTTGATGTCCGCAAACTTTCCTTAAATTCTTTCGGATGTCCGCAAGTTTTCTAAATTTTTACGGATATCTGCAAATTTTTTAAAATTTTTTCCCGCACTGGCAAAAACTTTTTTCCTCGAAGACTTACGGGGTAAACGGCACTAGTACCTTATTTAAATGTAAAAAATTTATTTTTTTTAGCCTTCTCAACTCCCGAAAAACCTGCTGGGGAAATTTATAAAATAAAATGTATTGATGGATCTGAATTTGCGCTTAATTCGAAGCTTTCTTCAGCTTTAGGAAAGGCTTTACAGCAAGGATTTGTTTTTGATTTTGATTCGAATCATTTGCCAATTTCAACCAAATGTCCAGCTTTGTATGTTAAGTTTTCTCGAAACGATGATAAAAAGGTTTGAAAAAAATTTTGTAAATGTAGGAATGGGTTTGGGCTTGTTTTTAGTTTTCTGGATTTACGGTTAAAATTTGAAGGATATTTTTGACTTCCTTGAATTTTCCCCGAAATTCTCGTCTTCCTCTCATTAACCAGTTTCCACGCATTTTCGATTATGCCCACAATGTCCGCAACTTTTTGTCCGCAAATCAAATCTGCAAATTCTAATGTCAGCAACTTGCTATCTACAAACTCTTTTTATTGGGTTTCCTTGTTCTTGATTTTTCCTCAGAAATTTTCCTTAATTTTTGAGTATGTTTCTCAGAGTCCACAAATTTTATCTGCAAATTTCTATCCGCAATAGTTCCCTCTTGAAAAATATTTTAAAAATATAGCTCTCCCTTCCCCTGTTAACTCTTTACAATTTTATCTTCAAAAATTTCAAAAAAATTTTTCTTTCTAGTTTCAAACTATTCCTTCTTCAACAACACTTTTTCTACTTTTACCTACAAATTATCCAGAATCTCAAATTAAAATTTTGACGAAATCGGAAGGATCAACTACAATGGATATATTTCTTGAAAAATTGGATTCAAACCTAGTCAATACAAATTCTTTGGATAGTGTGCTTGCTGCTTGGAACAGTTGTTTTTAAATTAATTTTTTACTAATAATTATAGTATTCTTATTTCTAAACATTTCGGAATTATTTACAGCTAATTTTAATTAGTTTCCATAAGGTGTTGTCTTTGGTGTAGTTGGAAATTGTTGGGTTCCCCCTTATAAGGGACCTGGGTTCGAGTCCCTTTGAAGGTAAACAATTTTTATTTTTCAATAGAGCGAATTTTATGGGTCCTAATAAGTTGTCTCCTTGGTGTAGTTGGAAATTGTTGAGTTCCACCTTATTGAGGTCATGGGTTCGAGTCCTGTTGACTGTAAACCTTTTTATATTATTCAAAAATTGATTGTATTTCTTTATCTTTATTTTACAAAATTTTTAAAAATATTTTTGTACTATTTATATACTATAATTTTTATATTCTATTTTTATATATAAATTGGTAATCATATAAATATATTGTTCTTTATATTCTACAGCCTCTCTACTAATTTTCTTTTTCAAATGTAGTTTTTTTCTGTAAATTTTTCGTAATTTTTTAAAATTCAATAAATAATTTAAATAAAAATACCTTCTCTTTTTTGTTCACAAATTGGTATAATTATCTTTTCTGAAGACTATTTGAAGTTGTGAATTAATTCGATTATTACTGCTTGGACGCTACAAATTTTAAAATTAATTTTAAGTCTGAAATACCCCAAACCTGTTCAGCCAGAAATTTTCTCCATTCGTTTGAAGGTATTACTAGCCTTCCAAATTCGTCTCTTTCCAATGGGGCTGTCTCTTTCTTTAAAAGATCCGCAAATTTTTTACGGACTTTTTTTTTAATAATCTCTACCTTTTTCCCACAGCCATTTTCAGTCGTTAGCTTTCCTCTAGGCTCTGACCACTTATTTTCCCCATAAATATTTGAATAATTACGATTTAAGGACGGAAAGTTGTAAAATTTTTGTTGATATTTGTTTTCGCCTTAAAAATTTATTTCAATATTTGCAAATTTATGCGGATGTCCGCAAATTTTTTTAGTTGCGGACATCCGCAAGTTTTTGCGGACTTTTTTTTCCATTCACTTACCTTCTTTTTTCTTTTCTCTTTGTTTTATTTCATTGTTTTCACGTTCAACTTCCGGCACAAAATCGTCTAATCGCCCAGGATTAGGTTTTTCATCTAACGATATGACACGATAATCTTTTGATTTATTTTGAGAGAAAAAGTGGTGGTGATCGCTATCTCCGCTAGATGAATTATTTGATGAAACTGACACTTAAAAAAATTTTTAAATTTTTAAAAATTGCGGATGTCCGCAAAAAATTTACGGATGTCCGCAAGTTTTTTGCGGACATAAAATCAAAAAAATCTCACAACTTGATCCAATCCCAGTACTGTCACTTTTATTTGAATTTTTAAAATTTGGCCAAGTAAAAATTGGAGGCGAAGTAGGGATATAACTTGGAGAACTTGTTCCTCCCCCCAATTTTGCCCCTTTAATAATTAATTCTTTCTCTTCAAAAGGAATTTCCACAATTTTCAATCGGGGAGTTTTTAAAGGAAAGGAAGAATTTCTCTCATTAATATTATTGAATTTCCGGATTGCTGGGAGTGATTGCTGTTGTTTTGAATTAAAATAGCAAGACGCTGATATTGATGCATTGTGATTGCGAGAAATTAAAAGAGAAACGGAAACTGAAAATTTTTTTTAAAAGTTGGACCTTTATATAAGAGACAAGCTAGAGTTGGAAAAATTTTATCTTATAATGGAGGGTACCTTAAATAGAAGGTTTAGCTAAGGCAACTCACCACTCAAACTTAACCTTTAGGTATACCCGTGGGATTGAAAAATCGTCTCTTATAATGAAGGTATCCTAATTAGAGGGTACCTTATAACGGGGATACCTTAAATAGAGGGTATTGCTTAGGTAGCTCCCCCACCCACAAAACGCGCTTTAGTTGGAAAAATCGTCTCTTATAACGAGGATACCTTAAATAGAGAATTTTTACCTTCACTCGACGGCAGCTCTCTAGAAACAATTTTGAAAGGCCTCTCAGTACTTTTAGGATGAACAAAGTTTCCAGTTTGTTCATTTTTGAAGTAAGGCTATTAATTTAAAAATTAGAAATTCAAAAAATTTTCTTCCAAGCCCAATTTACCTTAATTTCTTTTGTCTTTCCCCCACTATTATTATTGCCGACAATATTCTCCATCTCGGAGTTCCCAGCTTTGGCGCGGCCAAGAATAACACAAGTTTTGGAAAAAGTATTGGAATCCCCACCACAACTTTTTGAATTCCCAAAATTTATTTTTTCAAAGGGTGACTCCATTTTTTGAATAATTTTATAAATAAAATTAAAGACATTTTAAATAGGGAAAATATAAAGGAAAATTTTGGAATGTGTTTAAAAAGGATATTTTTGTTGTTTTGGATAGATGGCGAGATAAGGGGGAAAATAAAGGGGAAAGGAAGAAAATAGGGGGAATAAGGGGGACCGTTACGGCGCGAAGGTGTTTTGGCGCGGGAGCTTATAAAACAGTGGATTGCTCATCTAGAAAGTTAAAATTTTCCATTAATAACCCAGATATCCTCAACTAAGTTATCCAAAAATTTCAGAATTTTTGAACCAGAATTCCAGAAATTATGACCAAAAATATTGTTGATTCTCCAAAAAATACCTTATTTTTGAAGTTTATCTAAGCAATATTTGATGAAATATTCTGAAATTTTTAGAGGAGGTAGTATAGGATGTTAAAGAAATTTGAGGAAATTTTCATAAATTTAGGGTTCGCACAAGTGTCATTTTTGAGT